CTGGGCGGCATGCACTCACCTGGGCTGGGGTGGTCCTGCGTTGGCGCCTACCTGCTCCAGCGCATGCAGGTGTCTTGGGGCACGTGGTGGTCGCAGTGGTTCCCAGGCCTCTCTCTAGCTGAACAGAGATCAATAGCCAGTGCTAGATGCAGAGATCAGCAATAGAATGTGGTGGCAAAATGTGCCTCACTCGAGTCTTGGGACAGGATAGATTAGGCAAAGCAGAAGAGAAAAAGAGATCTCCACCCTTTTGAGTGCTGACTACTGTGGTGAACAATCCTGGGGCCTTTAGGCTGTACCAAGGTGTAGCCTTGGCCAACAGTCTTCAGTTGCAGTCAGTTATACCACTTTTCATGGGAGATCTCAGAGAGAGAAGAGAGAGAGAGTTTGATGGCAGGCAGGGGTGGGGAAGAAGGACTACTCAGGATCTGGGAGTAAGCTTGGGATCTATATGTCCTTCTATATTTCATACATATATAGGAACATATGAATACATCCTCTTTTTAAATTTTCCATATGAAATGGCATTACACTAGAATGTAAGCCCCACAAGACCAAAGATTTTTGTCTACTTTGTTTGCTGCTGAATCTCCAGTGGTTGGAATAGTACTTGGCACATAGTAATTAGTCAGTATTTGCTGAATGAGTGAACACTTTACATATCATTTGGAGATTAGCCTCTTGACTGTTCTACTTGCTCATTTCCTGTTATCTTTACTTCTATTCTTAAGCTGCTTACTGTCATGACCACACCCTGGAACTTGTCCTGTGTCTGAGATTTCAAATTCAGATTTCTCAGTTTCTAACTACAATTTTCTATCTTTCTTTAAACAAGTTTTTGTGGTATAATTTACATGTCACAAAATTCATACATTTTAAGTATACCCATTTCAAGGATTTTTAGTACATTTACTGAGTTGTGCACTTATCACTATAATTCAGTTTTAGAACTTTTATATGGCTACAATAAGATCCTATATGTCTGTTTTTCTGTCTTTTTAACTCTGTCGCTGAATTATCTACTCTACCTATTTTTAGGTTTCAAACCCATTGGCCCCACTACTACTGCCCCATTTTGTAGACTCCTCTTTCTTTTTCATCTTATTCTCTATTCTTTATCTTCTCAACCCTTTTGTTTGCCAGGTGAAACCATCAGTTCTGAATTAATCCATTTGTTTATTTTTCTCTCTGCTAAGTGCTAGTTTCTGATTACAGCAGGATGAAAAATCACAGATTAGTGCCACTGTAAATTCATGGTCTTCAACTTCACCTTTCCTTGCCCTGCCTTACTTCTACTTTCTTCTAGTTAATTATCTCCTTACCATTCTCCACTCTCTTTTCTCAGATGTTAAGCCCCTATTGAGGTCTTGCTTCCTACTTTATACAGAGTATAGAGTCCATCATTCTAGAACAATGGTTCTCAAAGTATGAACTGGGGATTCCTGAAACCCTTTCAGCAGATCTTTATGGTCACAATCACTTTCATAATAATAGTAGGATGTGATTTGCTTTTTTTACTGTGTTCAGATAGTGGGTAAGACTGCTGGCACCTTGTCCAGAATCATGATAATGGCATCAAACCTACTAGTCATTGTATTTTCCACCACTGAGCACTCACAGTTTAAAATTTTAAAAAGCCAGTTTTACTTAAGAATATCATGAGGACATGATAAAAATTAAATCTTGACCCTTGTGTATATATCTTTCTAATATTAATGTGATAAAATGAAAGTAAGCATGGAACACATCTCTGTATTGAAGTACTATGATTGTCTGAAGAAAACACTTATGATTGTTTTTAGTTGCAAGCTGAACTAGCCACTTTTTTTTTGATGGAACACCATTTTTATTTGATAGAACAAGTGATAAAGTTCTAGTGATTTACATATTTGGCAGGTATCCTCTCAAAAATGAACCAAATGAGCCTGTCACTTCCAGGAAAACAACTTATTGTATTTATCGCCAATGGTAAAATGTGAGCTTTCATTCAATCATTAGAATTTTGGAGGACTTTATTTGCTACTATGAACTTAACAGCTTTCTAGTATGTAAAGATTTTTCTGATGAGATAAACGATATTAACAAATATGATTTTTTTTTACTGTTTAATGAACATTTAGAGGATCTATATTTTCTAAATGACCAGGGAATTGTGATGGAAAATCACATGTGGGCAAAAAATATTCAAAGTGCAAGATAGATCTATAAATTTTAATGTAGTAGAATATAAAAAATTTTTTGATTTGGTTTCAGACTCCACATTGCAGCTAACCTTAAGAAACTACCCACTTATTGAGTTTCCATGTAGTATCAAAAAAGAATATTGACAATTATCTGAAATTATTCTTGCTTTTTCAAACTACATATCTGTGTGCGGCTGGGTTTTCTTCATATGTTTCAACCAAAACAATACAATATATTGGAACAGATTGAGCAGAAGCAGATGTGAAAAATCCAGCTGTCTTTTGTTAAAACAGAGATTAGCAAACATGTAAAACAATGCCTCTTTTCTCACTAAGTTGTTTTGTTTTGGGAAATATAGTTATTTTTTATTAAAAAAATATGTTAACATGTGAGTTCATGGTTATTTTAAAATTAGTAAATAAGTTTCTTAAAAATTTCCATTTTAATTGCAAATATGGTAAGTATCAATAGCTATAAACCACATAAACAAAAGCCCTTTGGTGTTAAGAATGAGAAGGGGTACTGGGACCAAAACGTTTGAGAACCACTAGAATAAAGCTCTCTTAATTTCTTATCAAAGGCCCTTATACTGTATTCACGTTCATTCTCTCTTTCTCACTGCCTATTCAGTGAAAGAGATTCCCCTCACTCACCTCCGAAGCGCAAGATCCATCTTTTTGAGCTTTTTATGGACCTCTCCCATCTATCATTTATTCCCATCTTCATTCCTTTCCCACACCATTTAAATATTAGTAAGACTCTACTAATTTTATATACTCATGCATTTGTATTCATAGATACACCATCCTCTTGCATAGCTGTTTTCCTTGAAGGATTTATCTGTACTTTGTGTATCCAATTTTTTACCTCCCATTCACTCTTTAACTTACTCTAATATGGCTTATACGCCAACCATTCCACTGAAATTGCTTTCACTAATGATCTCTGTGTTGCTAAATCTAATTTTTCGTTCTTTTAACCTCGTGGTTATGCTTTCTATGCCTTAAAACAACCCCAAATGTTGGTTTCTGTGATGTAACTTTCTCTAGTTTTCCTCATGCCTGACATTCATATTTCTGCCATTTTGTTGGTTCCTCTTTTAACATCTGTGGTTCTTTAGGGTTCTACTTTAGGCTTTCATCTTTTCTTTCTATACTTTTTTCCTCTCTACAGCCTTTTCTACTCCCATGGTTTTTGTTTTGTTTTGTTTTGTTTTTTGTTAATCTGTATACATTTGACTTCCAAATGTTTATTAATAGCCTAACTTTCCCTCCAGAGCTCCTGATCAATGTATCAAACCATCTACTGGATAAATAGAATAGCACTGTGATTAACAGTAAGGCTTTACAAGTCAAAAAAATTTTTGATTTGAATTTTAGCTCTTTCACTTCTTATTTGTGTGATTTTTGACACCTTTTAAATCTCTCTAGGATTCAGTTTCTTTATTTGTAAAATGGGGATAATAGTTGTCAAAGGCTAGTAGTGAGATTATTTGCAATTAAGCGTTTAAAGCACAGCACAACATTCGGTATATAGTGCTCAAAAATATGTTAGCTACCTCTGTTATGTTAATAAAATTATTCTTATCCTCATTTTCATTATCATTCACCACCAAAATTATCATAGAAATCTGCTTGAATATTCTACTATACCCAAACCCCAGTATGTCTAAAGCTGAGTTTATCCTTATTCCCCCTCCCCCCAAAAACCAAACATACCTGTTTTTCTTAGAGTCCTTCCTATTTCAGTAAACACAGTACCACCAACCAGCTGCTTAAGCAAGAAATCTAGGCATCATCCTCCACTCCTATTCTACCTCTCACTTCCCACATTTTATGTCTCCTGAATCAATACATTTCCATGATCCTTTTTACAGCTATCATCATTTTAGTTTTTCTACAATAGCCTCTTCACTCCCTACCTCCAGTCTTGTGAATTCTCTAGCTATTCTAGTCATTTCATTTTTGTGCTGTTTACTTCTCAGGCAAATTCCACTACGTCGTCAGATGTACTTAACAGGCTCTGCATGATCTGACTTCCCATTATTTCTCTTAGTCCCACCTCTCACCACAGCCTCTGACTCTAGGTTACAGTCTTACTCAGTGGTTTCAGTTCCTGAATCAGTCGTATGTTCTCATGACCCTTTTCATGTGCAATTTTATTTACATGAAATACTCTTTCTACTCTTCAGATAAAAAGCACCTCTAAGTTCATTGTTTAGTCTCCTGCTTAGAGATATCCCTCCAAGAAGGCTTTGCAGAAACCACCTCTGCACCCCTATTTAGTTAGTATCCCTTCTAGATGTTTTAATATACTTCCCCTGCATAGTACTTGTTATGCTATTTATAATTACCTATTGTTTCTATTCCCCAACATGAAGGGAAAAAAACTCGGGAAAGAAAAATATTAAAATGGTAAACACCTCTGAGTGATGGGATTATGAGTAATATTTCCTTTTCCTTTTTGAAATGTTTATATAATCTTTTCAAAATTATTTCTGTAATTTTTAAAAGAGAAGTCTTATACTTTAAAACCTTTTTTGATATTTTGATTTTTAAAAATATAGTTAGTATTAAATTGCTTTAAGTCAAAATATTCTTTATCCCTGAAGTTTTTTGTTATTCAGAACATGCTGCTTACTTTAAAACTTGATTTAAACTTGTAATTTCTAACAAAATACAAATTTCTGGTAAAATTGAAAGGAAAATTTCTTGTGCTAATAAGTGTTTTGTTCTCTATACTTGTATAATCATTGTTTCACTTTACATTTTAGGGAATGTAATTTTATTATATAACCTCTTTTTTTTCTTATTTAGGATATGTGAACTTTTGCAAAGTGGAGCCATAATGAATAAATTTTACCAGCCTCATGAAGCACATATTCCCTACCTCCTACAGCTCTTCATTGACTACAATCTTTATGGAATGAATTTAATAAATCTGGCTGCTGTCAAGTTCCGAAAAGCAAGAAGGAAAAGTAAGGTTAATTTTTAAGTGCAAATTAAAGTTTTGAAACAAGTGTTATATAATCGATGATTTCTATATATTTAGAAAATGTATATGTTTAGAAAATAAGTGTTGAGTGGATAAAGAATAAAAAGAGATGTGCAAAGTGGGATAGAGATTATCAAGAAAAGCATCTCAGAAGAAATGTTTTTTGTAACAACTTTATTGAGATATTTCATATACCATATAATTCATTCATTTAAAGAGGACATTTTAATGGTTTTTAGTATATTCACAGAATTGTTGAACTATCACCACAAATTTAGAATATTTTCATCACTTCTGGAAGAAACCCTGTACCCTTTAGCAATCACCTCCAAACTTCCCATGTCTCCTATCCCTGAAGCAACCACTAATCTACTTTTTGTCTCTCTGTATAAGTGGCATCATATAGTATGTGGTTCTTTCTTCTGTTTAGCATGATGTTTTAAGGTTCATCCATTGCATTAATTTGCTTCTGCTGCTTTTAACAATATCTCTAAAACTGGGTAATTCATAAAGAAACAAAATTTAGTTAATGTTTCAGAGGCTGGGAAGTCCAAAGTCCAGGTAACACATCTGGTGAGGGCCTTCTTCCGGGTGATGACTCTCTACAGCAACTCAAGGTATCACATGGCGAGATAACAATTGGACCAAGAGTGAGAGCTAACCTCACTTGCCCTCCTCATAAATCCGTCAGAAACATGCTCAGTACTCCCTGAATAGATCAATCCATTTACAAGGGCACAGTCCTCACAATCTAATCACCTCTTAAAGGCCTCTCCTTTCAAATACCATAATCGGATTTCCCATTCTGTTATCACTGTTACAGTGGGAGTCAAGCTTCAGTGAATTTTGGGGGCACATTCAGTTCACAGCATCCATGTTGCAGCATGTATCAGTATTTCATTCCTTTTAATGGCCAAATATCTGTTATGTGGATATACTGCCTTTTGTTTATACCTTTATGATTTGATGGACATTTTAGGTTGTTTTCCCCTTTTGGCTGTTAAGAACAATGCTGCTTTGAACATTTATGTAAAAGTTGTATAGCCATATATTTTCATTTCTCTGGGGCATATTTCTAGGAGTAGACATTTCTGAGTCAAATGGTCTAGCATCTGTTGCCTTTTATTCTCATTGGATTTCTTCTCTTTTACTTCTCTTAAAAGAAAATGGAACCAATATTTTTCTTCCAATACTAGTGTCCTTTCTAACTGTCATAATTCTTTTCCCTTACTGCCAAATTTTTTGAACCAGAGGTCCATATTTATTGTCTCTTAGTTCATCAACTATTCTCCTTTGGTTTAATTCCTTCCATTTCTTCTACATACCCAACCATGCTCTGAAAAGTCACTAGGGAGGATTTTTTGTTTCCCTAAATAGTGGGTAGGTTACTGGGATCAACTCTTCTGCTAAAAACAATTTAAAGGCTGAGTAAAATTTGAAAGGAAAAAAATCTTAAATGTATCATAGAGTTTACAAATTATAAAGAAGTTTAGGCCAGAAGAGAGAACAGAATGTTGAAAGCAACATTTACCCTGAGGGTGTTTGCTAATGAACCTTATTTGAGACAGCCTTACCTGCAGGTTTTGCTCTGCAGGTGGGAACCCTCCACAGGGTAAGGTAGGGCTTCAAATGGATAAGCCCTTAAATTGAGCAGAAACTGGGAAGTAGAACACCTTTGAGGCATTTCAGTACAGTTTGAATACGCTGGAACTAAAGTAGATTCCCATATCTAGAAGTTGATCTATGATGGTGCTGGTCTGGTAATACACTCAAGTCTGGCAGAAAAAGAAAATGCAAATTCTCCCTAGAGGAAATTATCTTTATTATAGGTCTCAAATTATCCTAAAAATAAGATTTGAAATATATTCAGCACACAATTTCGAATATACCAGTCAATATACAAGAAAACTCCATCACGCACACATGCACACGCACACACACACCTGACTGGCAGAGAATTCCAATATTGGAATTATTAGATGCAGATTGAAAAACTGTAATTCAGAATTATTATCAAATAGTGGTGCTATTTGTGATTCTCTAATGTACGATGTTATATTCACTAATAGTTTTGTTTTGTCTCTCCGGAATGCTAAGAATATCTTTATGTGGAACAATTTAGATGCATTGAAACTTATTTTCAAAAGAGTGTTTTGTGGCGACAACCTATATTAAATATTTCATTTTTATTTTGAATATACAAACATTGAAGCTTTGAGAACAGCATGTGACTCCCTTTTTAAGTAGATCAAAATGATTCATTTGTTCTACTAGATAATAATACCAGATAATAATAAACTACTAGATAATAACCTCAAGTTTAGTTGACAACTTATAGCTTAATAACTGCCTGTTTATCTCTTCTCATATCTTAGGATAATATAAAATTCCCATAGTTAATCAAGTTGTGTAAATGAGTAGCTCTCCCTTGGTCCTTAGGATCCCAAAATGGAAATCATTACTGAAGGATGAGGTAGGCTTGGCTATCCAATAACTCCCTTTTTCCATGGAGAAAGAGGCTGAAAAAGAAAGGAAAGAAGAGAGAAGATAAAAGAAAAGCGGGAGAGAGAGATGACTGTCCACTGCCTAACTTTCTTCCCTGTGGAGATTGTAACCTCCTAGTGTCTCCCCACTTTTATGAGGGCTGTGTTATTTCATACCCAAGAGATGCAGTGCAGAGATTTTCCAGAGTAAAAGTTTAAGGAGTAATATCCAATTTCAAGACTTATTATAAAGCTACGGTAATCAAAACAGCATTGTATTAACAAAAGTATAGACACATTGATGGATTAGAGTAGGGCCTGGAACTAGACCCATATTTGAAATAGCCTATCATTTGTTCATGTAGTTCACTTAGCTTTGAAAGAGGCACAATCGTAATTCAATGGAGAAAGGATAATTTTTTTAACAAATAGTGCTGTAACAATTGGATGGCCATATGCCAAAAAGTAAAAATAAAAGAACCCAGACTTATACTTTATAACTTATATAAAAATTAAAATACATCACAGACTTAAATGTAAAATGTAAAACTATTAAACTTTTAGAAGAAAATAAAGGGAAAATCTGCCCAGCCTTGGGTTTGGCAATGAGGTTTTAGATGCAACACTAAAAGCATGATCTTGAAAGGAAAAATTGGTAAGTTGGATTTTGTCAAAATTAAAAACTTTATCTCTGTGAAAACACTTTTAAAAGAATGAAAAGACAAGCACGGGACTGGGAAAAATATTTTTTCAAATGACATCTGATAAAGGACTTGTATCTAAAATATATAAAGAATTCATAAAAATCAACGATAAGCAAAATACTCAAAAGACCTGAACAGATACTTCACCAAAGAATAAGATATAAGGACAGCAAACACAAGAAAAGATGATATTTAGCATTATATGTCATTAGGCAAATGCAAATTAAAACCACAAAGAACTATCATTACATATTTACTAGAATGGCTAAAATTCAGAAGACTGACAACAAATGCTGACCAGGATGTGGAACAATAGCAACTCCCATTCATTGCTGGTGGGAATACAAAATAGTACAGTCAGTTTGGAAGACAGTTCAATAGTTTTTCATAACATTAAACATAGACTTACAATGTGATCCAGCGATTGTACTCCTAGGTATTTAGCCAAGTGATTTAAAACTTAGGTCCTCCCAAACCTGTAAGCAAATATTTATAGCAGCTTTGTTCATAATGGCTAAAAATGTAAATCAACCAAGATTTCCACTCAACAGAGGAGTGGCTAACCTGTGATACTATTTAGTGATGAAAAGGAAGAAGCTGTTGGTTCACACAACAACATGGCTGAATCTTTTAAAGCATTTTACTAAATGAAAGAAGCCAGACTCAAAAGGTTATGAATTGTATGATTTGATTCACATGACATTCTGGAAAAGGCAAACCTGTAGAAGTGGAAAATAGATCGTTGGTTGCAAGGGTTTAGAGAGGGAGTATTGACTGCAAAGGGAATATACAGGGGAACTTTTAGAGTGAAGGAATTATTCTGTATGCTACTAGGGTGGTGGATACGTGGCTATGTGTTTGTCAAACCCTTAGAACTGTACTTCACTGTACCTTAACCAAGTGATAAATGTTAACGTCACCAGTGATGTCATGTGGATATCATGTACCCACTAACATGATGTGATAAGGCCTGTCACCTCTCTGATATTCTTTCCAAAAACCCATACCACTCCTATCATGAGAAAAACATCAGACAAACCGGATTGGAGATCATTCTATAGGTTACCTCATCAATACTCATGACTGTCATGAAAAACACAGACAGACTGAGAAATAGAACAGAGGAGAATGGGGAGACAGCAACTAAGTGCAACATGGTACCCTAGATTGGATCCTAGAACAGAAAGAGGACATTAGTGGAAAAACTGGTGAAATTCAAATAAAACGTGTAGTTTAGTTAATAGTAGTCTTCCAGTGTTGGTTTCTTTGTTCTGACAGTTGTACCATGGTAATATAAAATGTTAACAATGAGGGAAACCAGGTGACCAGTATGCAGGAACTCTCTGTACTATCCTTGCAACTTTTTTGTAAGTCTAAGATTATTCTAAAATAAAAAGGTTACAGGGAGAAAAAAAGAATAGCAAATTGGTTATCAGTGTCAAGTATAGCTGAGAGTTTAAGAAGAATTGAGGAGTGGAAAAGTTTTTAGAGTATATGCAGTAGGTATTATAGGAAGAGGAGGTAATTTTCACAATTAAAGGTTTTTTCCCAATAGGTAAAAAAGCACAAGAAAAGTTTGAATTAGCAAATGAATGTAAACCATTTATTTTATTTATAAAAGTTAGGTTAAGTATTGGAATGGAAATGAGAAAGGATTTTTTTTCAAACTGAAAATTTGTTAAATTTGAAGGCAAATTTATGTGGAATTTAGTTGGGGGAAATTAAAGCAGAGAAATTGCACTATGATTAAATAAAATTTACATCTTAACTCATCATATAAATAGCTTTCAGGGTTTTTTTCTGTTTGGTGTAAAATAAAAGGTTATACTGAAATCATGGAAAGAATAGGTGAATAATTTTTGTATTTTATTTTCTCATGTTATCTCAGATGCATTACAGTTAACCCGACAGTAAAGTTCTCATATTATATATGAGGGTACTTAAAAGTCAATGGTAAAATGGAATTAAGAGACAATACATGGGCCGGCCCCGTGGCGCACTGGATAAGTGCGCCGCTTGGGAAGCGCGGCGGCGCTCCCGCCCGAGGGTTCGGATCCCACATGCAGACCGGTTCCCGCTCACTGGCTGAGCGAGGCGCGGGAGCAACATCGAGGGTTGCAATCCCATTGCCGGTCCCCGGTCCGGTACGGGGGCAACACTGAGGGTTGTGATCCGATGCCGGACACGGAAAAAGACAAAAGACAAAAAAAAAAAAAGAGAGAGACAATACAAATCTTTCCATGAACTTTTTGAAGACTCCTCGTGTGTATCACATGCGTATAACTTAACATTTTATCTTATAAGACAAGTTAACGTAATTCATAATGTAGTCTTACTTTTGAAGTAGTGAAAAAGATTTTGAAATTCAAATATTTCATATGCATATACGATTTTGTCTCAGTATTCAGTTAGATAATCAGTTGTAAAATGAAGTATGCATAGGGCTAATTACTATAGTTTATTAAAGTGAAGTGTATAAAAATATTTAAATGCAGCAAATATTTTGAGCACCACAGAGGCATTTTATGTTTTTTAAACATCCACAGTAGAAAACAAATTATGTAAGGGACATGAAAATCAACTACAATGTATATTGAGAAGTAAAATAAAAAAATAAAAAAGAAAATAAAAGGAAAACAAATTATATGTATATATAATATATATTACAAACGTAGGCTGGCCAGGTAGCTCAGTTAGTTAGAGCATGGCTTTATAACACCAAGGTCAAGGGTTCAGATCCCCTTACCAGCCAGCCATAAAATAAAACAAAAAAAAATATATTACAAATATATGTATATTTAAATCAGGGAGTTTTCACATTCTTTAGGGAAATATGGTAAAACTACATAGAGTATAAGTAAAATGTGAATTTTTATTTTATAATTGATAACTCTGAATTAATAAATTTGTGTAGCTCCTTTTTATTTTAACATGCACATTTTTGTAGGGTACAGTGTTAGATATATAAATTTATTAGAAAATTATTAATATGTATGTTGTAATTTATGTCTTGCAAGTGATTTCTTATAAATGTCCTACCCATACTGTAGCAAAGCCTTTTAAAACTTTTGAATGGCCGGCCCGGTGGCGCACTGGATAGTGCGCCGCTTGGGAAGCGCGGCAGCGCTCCCGTCCGAGGGTTCGGATCCCACGTACAGACCGGCTCCCGCTCACTGGCTGAGCGAGGCGCGGGAGCAATGCCGAGGCTTGCGATCCCGTCGCCGGTCCCCGGTCCGGTACGGGGGCAACACTGAGGGTTGCGAACCGTTGCCGGACACGGAAAAAAAAAAAAAAAAAAAAAAAAAAAACTTTTGAATGTATGAGAGAACTTCAAAAATTTTATGGAAAGATTCATATTATCTTTTAGTTCTAATTTTCCATGAACTTTTTGAAGTACTCTTGTATATAAGATCAGTTGCATGTTTTGTCCTGTTTTTTGTAGAAATAAGAAAGATAGTAATACCTTATCTCACTCTAATTATACCGTTTTGTTAAGCTAACCAATTAAGAAAATCAAAGTATTAAATTTAGCTGGAGAGCATTGTGAATTTAATATCTTTTTCAGTGTTAAGATTCTTTTTGATGCCACTCATTCAGCTTTGAAAACTTGAATTCCCACAACAAATCACAAAAAAGATGCTAAACTTTAGAGACTGCTTCCAAAGCATGACCCCTGGACTCAGTTTCTGAAACTGGGTCATCTTAGTAGACATGTATAGTCTCCTCTCCAACTGCAGGTCAAATTGCTTTTGCATTTGTTCCATGTTTCCACCCACTGTTACTGCCATTACTTCTGGAATGCATTGTGTATTTTCTTTTTGTTCTGGGATTAGTATTAAAGGATGTTTTGAATTTTGTGTGGAATTTCCACTAGAATTTTAGTTGAGGCCCATACACAGAATACCATAGGGATTTAAAGTCTATAAAAACTTGTAATTCTTTATTTTTCAAGTGAGATTTTAAGCATACTTCCCACAGTAGCACATCTAAATGTATCATACTTTGATTCTACTATGAAAGTATTGTAGCCATTTCTCCCCTAATATTCATACATTTGCAAATACTTTTTCCCCTCTTAGTTTGGAACCATTACTCTCAATTATATATGTATATTGTGTGTATGAATCTTTAGGGCACAATTTTAGAAACTAGTCACATAGGTTGTGTATTATTTTACTTAAGGTAATTATATGCAAATTAAAAGAATGTATTTCCTTTTACCTTTCTATTTCTAGGTAATACATTTCATGCAACTGGATCATGCAAGAATCATTTATCAGGAAATTCCCTTGCTGATACTTCATTTCGGTGGGAAGAAGATGAAATACCATGGTTAGTTAATGTTGTTAAAGAAATGAAAATTTTACGTATATCCTAGTTGTTTTTAGAAATTAGTGATTATTGGGCTAATGTTGTTAAAGAAATGAAAATTTTACGTATATCCTAGTTGTTTTTAGAAATTAGTGATTACCATCATTTAATTTTAACCTTTTATTGTATTGGGTCTTTTTAATTTATAAGTTTATTTTTAAAAGCACATTTCAGCATTAGTATGTTACATGGAATCATAGACCATGAAAATATACCTAGTTCTTACCTAATTAATGAAAGGAATTCAGGGTAAATTGTTTTATGTCTCTCCAGCATCCATTTTCATCATGCATTCTAAATTGATACAACTTATCAGTTTAAAAAAATCACATTTGTAATGAAATAGCAATTTAAAACTGGAATAGCAAATATTTTTTATAAAAATAACCCCTCAAATTTCTAAATATTAAAAATTTATTGAAGAAAGGGCATTGAAATGCTGTGTTTATGAATAATTTGAAATTTTTTCTTAACTATTTTATTTTTGATTAGACTTTTTGGAGGTAATATATTCCAAATGCTTAGATTTCCCTTCCATAAAGGAGATATGTAATCATCCCCTACAGAAATGATTAATCACTAACTTTATCTACATAGAACTCAGGGATTTCTGATTTATACCACACACCATTGCCTATGCTTCCTTGATCCTTTTATTGATCATTTGCGTAGTAGCAGGGTGATTATGGTTTTCCTCTTTTCATTATATGTCACCGGATGCTTTTTAAGCAGATATTTTTTACAAAGAGTGCAAGGTGGAGAAAGTGTTTGGTTAAGTGACTCTAGAAAATGTGATTTATTAATTGCGGGTAAACTATCATAAAAAAATTTGTTGACAGCTTAATTTATGTAGTTTTAGATCCCTAGTATGTGCTTGACAGAATTTCCATATTATAGAATTGCTTGGGGCTTTTTAATACCTAACATTAAGAAAGAATATCATTTAAAAATGACAGAAATATATCATTTTGTGACTATAATATTACCTAAGGGGCCGGCCCGGTGGCGCACTGGAGAGTGCGCCGCTTGGGAGCGCTGCGCTCCCGCTGAGGGTTCGGATCCCATGTGGAGACCGGTTCCCGCTCACTGGCTGAGCGTGGTGCGGGCGCAACACCGAGGGTTGCGATCCCGTTGCCGGTCCCCGGTGCGGGCGCGACACCGAGGGTTGCGATCCCGTTACCGGTCAGTAAAAAAAAAAAAAGACAAAAAAAAAGAATATTACCTAAGGATGAGTCTTTGAAGACTTCTAAGTAATGTGGACAGTCAGTGATTTTTCTCACCTCTTGTTCCTGCTTGTCAACAAGTAGCAGGGTTTTTTTGTTTGTTTGTTTTTAAAAGATGACGGGTAAGGGGATCTTAACCATTGACTTGGTGTTGTCAGCACCACGCTTTCCCAAGTGAGCTAACCGGCCATCCCTATATAGGGATCTGAACCCATGGTCTTGGTGTTATCAGCACCACACTCTCCCAAGTGAGCCACAGACTGGCCCAGTAGAAGGCTTTTTGATAAACATACACATACCTCTTATTTCCTTCACAAATATATTGGAATTGTTTATGTAATCATGTTGAGATGATATTAAGTTTAGAGAGAATGTTATTTACCACATCAAATTCAAGTTCTAATCAATCCATAGCAAAGCAACCAACAAGCTACTTGCTATTTCATTTTTTTATACCTATGACACAGTCCCTCTGTCTCTCTAAAGTTGGAGCAAATCAACTTGACCCAAGGACTTTTACCTACTTGCTAGAACCCCTACTTTTCAAAGTTCTATATTTAGTAGATTTTTTGTTTTACACAATCAATTAAAATTAAAGTTTATTTGTAGTTTGAAGACCTTTTGTTACAAACATCTTTCTAGTTAAGTGATAATACTGTACTAAAGCTTCATTGATTAATTTTGGGGAAACTGTATTATAATGAAAATTTTGAATTTTAGAATATTTCTAAGAAGTGCATTTTACTTTTAAATGTGTATAAATGGTAACCAAAGATATAAATATGCAAACTAGTGACATTAGACAAGTTATTCAGAAATTAGAATTTATAATAAGGGTCGGCCTCATGGCTCACTCAGGAGAGTGCGGCGCTGGTAGCACCAAGGCCGCAGGTTCGGATCCTATATAGGGATGGCTGGTGTGCTCACTGGCTAAGCGTGGTGCAGACAACCCCAAGCTGAGTGTTGCAATCCCCTTACTGGTCAAAAAAAAAAAAAGGATTTATAATAAATATAGTGGTTTTTTTCTTCAGATTATCCCACAGTTTTAGGTTTTTGTCATGCTTATATTAACTGAAAACCTGTAATTTCATTAAATACAGATAACAGATAATGTCAGAAAGTTTTGCCATAAATTAGTACTCTCTCAGATTTTGTTAGTCTTATTTCTGTCCCTAATGCAAACACCTTCTTCTGGGTGCCCCCCGCCCTTTTTTTTTTTAAACAAGGAAATATTTTATATACCTTCACAAACATTACAAAGGCCACGATACTCAGAGAGAGCAACAAAGTCGAAATGAGATGGGGATGGTGAGTCAGCAGCTCTCCTAACCATCATGGACCTCCGTGGTCATTTGGCAAAGTGTTAAATTCACAAAAGTTGAGTCTGGTGTCTCAACCCTGGATACCCATCAGAATTATCTGTAGAGATTTTTTTAATTATGAGTTTGTGAACTCTACTCTCAGTGATTCTAATTAGTAGATCTCTTGTGTTAAACTAGGAACAGAAATATTCAGAAAGGCAAAATTGTTTAATTACCTTTGGATTGCTTACCTACCTTTCATGACCAAAATGAATGGTTTACATGTTTTTGCTGACTCAGATTTTTTACTCACACTCTTCTATCTACCAGAAACAAACTTTTAATACTGAAAACTTTCTTTTCATAGGAACACCTCCTGTTCTGAATGTCTGAAGTTTTGCAATAAGGGCAAGAAATAGTTGTAAATTTCTACTGTGAGATTATGGTTTTTTTTGTTATTGTTTCCTCCTTTGTCACAAATGTGCTACTCCTGGAGTATTCATCCTTGACATTTACAATGTAATTTTTTCAAATTGCAAAACTTTTAGTATAAGAAGAAAATTGTTGACCTTTTTTATCTGGTACTTCACTTCATGGCAAAACTGATTTTGTTAAATTATATAAATAAAGAGGATAATCTACATTGAGAATTATTTTTTCTGAAAGTGAAAGGAATATATTGTGATAGGTTGGCTAATATGTCCCTTCTCTATCAGTGGCAAAAAGATGTGTGTGTACACATATTTAAGTGGGGTCTTCAAAAAGTTATGGAAGGATTCATATTATCTGTTAATTCAATTTTTCCACGAACTTTTTGAAGTACCCTCATACATATATATGTGCATATATTTATTTGAATTGTAAAAATTCTATGCTTTAGCAAATTAATTTCTAACGTTTCATCAAAATTTTCTTAGGGATAGACAATGGAAAATGAGGTTTTGCTAATGTTTTTGATAAAACATTTAAAATTTTCAAATCAAAATGTTAATGAAATATGCTATCACCCCCTTTCAGGTAAAATCATGGATCTCCGCTTTTCATTTGGTGTTTATTTTGGTATGAGATCAAAATTTTGGAATGAGTAAACTGAGATCCACACTAGATATCTATTCATTCTGTCAAGCAGGGACAATTACGTGGTATCTTTATCTTCCTAATCTCTTTTGTGGCTTTTTTTTTTTGGACCGGTAAGGGGATCGCAACCCTTGGTGTGGTGTCACCCGCACCGCGCTCAGCCAGTGAGCGCACTGGCCATCCCTATATAGGATCCGAACCCGCGGCGGGAGCGTCACTGCGCTCCCAGCGCCGCACTCTCCCGAGTGCGCCACGGGGTCGGCCCATTGTGGCTTTTCTTTTTTGTGAAAAAGAAAATGCTTCTGAGTCAAAGAGCATTTGTGAGAAACAACCCTTTGTAGCTCTCATAAAAACTAATGACCTTGTGGTGTCATCACTTTTCCTAGCTGTGGTCCCACTGTTGCACATTCATATGGTTTATCAGTTCTGTAGTTAAGAATTTTAAAGCATTCCCCACCTCAGCAATAGTTAAGGCAAGAAGAACAGTGAGTATCCTGTGCCCGCTTTTCAGTATGGTTTTTCCCTCATCTCTTGTTGTATGTTCTCTCCTCATTTTTTGAAAACCATCTATGATGGCTGTGGAAGATGACTCTAGGTAAATTATTTCATATGTGTATGGTTTTTGATGCTTCCCTCTGTTGTTCTTCTATTATCCTATTTGATTTTGCCCTGGGTATAACCACATGCTAAAACAATGTTCGTTCCTCATGTATAAAATATGATGAGCCAAAGTATGTAGAATATACTTGCAAAAGGATCTCAGTAGGATTGTCAGTGTATTAGATTTTGTATTTTTCTTGTCCAGTACATACATAGTACATGTATAAAATATGATGAGCCAAAGTATGTAGAATATACTTGCAAAAGGATCTCAGTAGGATTATCAGTGTATTAGATTTTGTATTTTTCTTGTCCAGTACATACATAGTACCAACTGTGCCATGAATAATTGTGAATTAATTTAATCAATTGTGAATTAATTATATGTACCACATAGTACCAGTTGTGCCATGAATAATTGTGAATTAATTTAATATCTTCAGGTTTTCCAGTCACCAGCTAAACATGAAATAGTTTTCTTTTTTTATTAATTTTTTTTGTTTATTTATTTATTAATATTATTTTTTTACATTCTATGATGTGGAGCAGTTGGGGGGAGGATTGTGCCATGAATAATTGTGAATTAATTTAATATCTTCAGGTTTTCCAGTCACCAGCTAAACTTGAAATAGTTTTCTTTTTTTATTAATTTTTTTTGTTTATTTATTTATTAATATTATTTTTTTACATTCTATGATGTGGAGCAGTTGGGGGGAGGAGGAGAGGGGAAAGGGGAAGGTAATAGGGTAGGAGGGGGAGGGAGAAAGAGGGGAAGGGTTGAGGCCTGTGGCACCCCCCTCATTCCTGCAGGGAAGACTAGGGGGCTTCCAGTGGTGTCTTGGTCATTGCTGGGCAGGGCACAGATGTCACGGGGGGCATGGCTGAAGCCTTCACTCACCCACCACCCCAGCTCGGCAGCCTGGGATGCTTCTTGCAGTGCCTTGGTGGTGGTTGCTGGGCTGGTGGGGGGCATGGCCGAGGCCCTTGGCCCCCCACCACTCTGGCTCAGGAGAGCCTGGGGTGCTTCCTGCAGCGGCTTGGTGGTCATAGCTGAGCTAGTTGTGCGTGTCGGGGGGGCATGGCCAAGGCCCTCATCCCCCCACAAAATATTGTTTTCTTTGTAAGAAAAATCTTACAAAGTTTGCTCTAACATATTTATTGTGTTTTTGATATCTTTTTATTACAGTTCTTTAATACTAGAAGGTGTTGAACCACAGAGTACATGTGAATTAGAAGTGGATGCTGTAGCTGCTGACATCTTAAATCGGCTGGACATTGAATGTACATACATAATTATTCTTAATATATATTTTTATTTTTAAAAATTAATGACCAAAATAGAGTGGGAAAACTAGGGAAGAAGGCATTACTCAGTAACTAAGATATTATAGAAATAGGATATGCAAAATGTTATAAAGATTTCTTCTTTACTTCTGATGAGATAGTCATTATTTTTTCACTTGTACCTTCATTCAGGAGTATGCTTGCATAGACACGAAACTAAAGTAAGTGTGATGCAAAATAAAATTAGCCAATATAAAATAATTTAATGTACTCTTCCTTTTCGTTTTATCTTCAAACTGTGTGCCAGAGAAGTGACTCTTAGGTCCATTGGCTATGTTCAAATGTTAGAATTTTATTTACTTGCTGGGTTTTTGGGAAACAATAGGAAGAAAACTAAAAAGTAACATCATAAACAGGTTGGGCTAGTTTGTCCATTTTATTACACAAATAAGGCAATTTTTTAAGGCAATATTTATTATGTAAAAGTTTAGATTTTTAAAGCAAGTATTTTTTACTTTGACCCTTGTAGTATTGAAGTATTGTTGTGATTACAGCTCAAATTGGTGGAAACCCTGGTCTACAGGCCATATGGGAAGATGAAAAGCAACGGCGAAGGAACAGAAATGAAACTTCTGAAATTAGCCAACCCACATCACAAGGTATAAACCATATAGTACTCTGATGATTTTTTCAAACTAAATATTTAAATGGAAAAGTTTATTATTGGGTTTTTTTCCCTTGACATTAATTAGATCTTCTCAAATTACCTTTAAATTTTCTATGTATTTTTCCTATTGTCATTGCCATACTACAAGTAATTCTGTACTTTGCCTTTGCAGCTATCTCCAAAGTGTCACTTACTGTGTCTCTCTCCCCGTAACAAATTGACATTTTCACTATCCTTGGTTTTCAGCATAACTTGTCCTCTTGCCTCACTTTTTTTGCTCCTTTTTCTTCTTCTAGTATGTTCTAGCCTTCTGCATTTCCAAATGAGCTATAGAAAACTCACAGAAGATTGTAAATCCCAACTTAGAAACACTGTTTAGCTCATTAAGCTTTGAAAATGTAATGCATAAAATACTACCCTCAACTTATTTTCTGTGTGTGCCATATAAACTCTCACTTTGATCATCATGTACAGCTCTGAAGAAAATACTCATCTTTATTATTAAATGCAGCTACATTCAAAAAAATTTGATGAGGCCTAAATACCATGAATACAACAGAATTTTTAAAATAAAGGTAAAAGAATAGAAGACATAACTCAAAAGGCAAATGTATTTGAAATTCAGTAGTAGACCTATATTGAAATCCAATTAAAATTTAAAATTTTGGGCGGCCCTGTGGCTCACTCAGGTGAGTGCAGTGCCATTAGCGCCCAGGCTATGGGTTTGGATTCTATATAGGGATGGCCGGTGCGCTCACTGGCTGAGCGTGGTGCAGACGACACCAAGCCGAGGGTTGCAATCCCCTTACCAGTCACAAAAAAAAAAGGAAAAAAAAATTTAAAAATTTTGTTATAATGTCTTTGGCACTAAAATTGTTTTGTTGAATTTTGAGTACCTTTTATGCTTTTAAAAATAGAAACATATTTTATAAGGGGAAAATTCCTGATTTCAGGGTATATGATACATTTACAGATAGAGAACAGTGTTTTTCTGTTTTAGACTTACATTATAATTAGAGAACTTAATCTCAAACTGACTTTAAGTGCTTAATTTTATAACCTAAGTAACAACCATTTCTCTTTTGATTCTGCAATAGGCCTACATTTAGCTTACATATGTCAAGAGAAATATAGGAAATTGCTATAATTTTTAAAGCTACTTTACGAGAAAGGAAAATATTTTATTCATTTGCTATCTACATTTTTTAATGCATTTTTAATATTTAAAGATCGCAGGTCTGTGCCAGCAACAGAAAGTGAAAAAAAATTTCAGAAGAAACTTCAGGAAGTTCTCAAACAGAATGATTTTTCTGTGTAAGTAGTTATTTATTATAGATCTCAGAACTAATTTTAATGCTTTGTTCTCTAGTTTGTTATAAAGGATATGTTTTAATTAAGCAGAACATTATCAGGATCTGTGGACTACAACGACGGATCCCAGGAGTTCTCTGCTGAGTTAACATTGCATTCTGAGGTTCTGTCTCCTGAAATGCTTCAGTGCACGCCAGCCAATTTGGTAGAAGTCCACAAAGACACAGAATTGAGCAAAGGTGAGATTTTCTTTTCAAGTATACAGAAAATACCATAACAGATGTCATTGTCTCTAGCAATGAGATATTAATATTTGGTTGAGTTTGCTAGGGGTTTTTTCCTAATAAGTAAACATTATGGATATAGCAAAAATTCTCTCATTCTTACTATGTCTCTAAATGTAAGTACTATCCTGAAGTTGGTGCAAGTTGTTACTGTATATGACTTTGTATTTTGTTATATATGTACAAGTGTGTCGACAGTATATATGGTACTATTTTAGGTTTTAAATTTTACTTGCATAGATTAAACAACTTGCTTTATTGATTCAACATTATATTTTTAAGCAACTTAATTGAGGTATAATTTACATAGCATAAAATTCACTCACTTTAAGTGTATAAATTGAATGATTTATAGTAAATTTACAGAGTTGTCCAAACGTTTTCACAATCCAATTTTAGAACATTTCTGTCTGCCCGAAGGATCCTCTGTGTCCGTTTGTAGTCATGCCTGTTCCCACCTCTAACCCCAAGTAACCCTAATCTACTTTCTTGTCTCTCTAGATTTGCCTTTTCTAGATATATCATATAAATGAAATCACACAGTATGTAGTTTTTTGTATCTGGCTTCTTTCACTTAGCATAATACCTTCACAGTTTATCCATGTTGTGTATCTATTAGTATTTCATTCCTTTTTATTGCCAAATAGTATTCCATTGTATACCCATACCAAGTTCTGTTAATCCATTCATCAGTTGATGGATACTTGAGTTTTCACTTTTGGCTATTAATAATGCTGCTATAAACATGAAACATGAAATTTAGAATAAATATGAAAAAAGATGTAAAATAATGAGAATAGTAGCAAGTGAAACCAGTTTGAGAAGAAACTTCACTACAAATATTATCTTTGCAGAGCAAAAACAAAACAAACAAAAAAATATAATGGTGCTATGAACATTAGAGTACAAGTCTTTGTGTGGATAAATGTTACATAAATAATACATACCAAGGAGTGGAATTGCTAGGTCATATGATAAGATTGTGCTTAATTTTTTAATATACTTCCAAGCTGTTTTCCAAAGTGGTTGTACTACTTTACATTCCCACCAGCAATATGGGAGGATTTCTGTGGCTCCACGTCCTCACCAGCACTTGTTATTATGTCTTTTTTAATGTAGCCATCCTAGTGTGTGTGAAATGGTATCTCATTGTAGTTTTAATTTTTATTTCCCTCATTACAATGATGTTGAGCATCTTTTCATGTCACCATTATAAATTTGAAATTTATTCTTGTTCACTCATTTTAGCTGCTGATTAGTGTTCAATTTTAAGGCTAAACAACAGTTTATATGTTTTTCTATTCTACAAATAGTACATGGTTTCCACATTTGCACTGAGTACAATATCTGTCTCCTTATGGCTATGTGCAAGGATTTCTCTGTAGAACACATACAGAAGTGTAAATTTGCTGGATGTTACGGTGTATGCATTGTACGCTACCTAAACAGTGTCTGTTCTAACAGTGTTTCTGTAGTGCAATTAGGTTACACATGACTGGTAAAGAAGAGAATAATGAAAATATTACTCAGAAGTCGCATTGTTTTATATGTAATTTTTCTAGGCAAGGGAGCCTCAACAATGTTTGATAGTGCCAAATAATAGATATAAAAAATGTTTGCCACTCTGATTCTTTGAAATGGTATCTCCTTATTTTAATCTGCATTTCCTGATTATTAATGAGTTTGAGCATCTTGAAAGGCCATTTGTGTTTCTTTACCTGAGAATTGCTTATTCATGTTCTTTGCTCATTTTCTGTTGCATCACTGGTCTTTTTTCTTGCTGATTTGTAGGAGTTTCTCATATTTTCTAGATATTGAACCTTTATGAGTTATATTTATTGTAGAGGGATTTTCTCCCCATCTAGGCTTCTCCTATAGAAGGCTTCAGAAAAATTTCAGCTTCTTTTTTACCTCTTTTTTCTTTTCCCATTTTTAAAAATTATTTTTATTTTTAGTGTTTTCAGTATCTTTAATTTTAATGTAAAGTTTACTAATATTTTCTTTTATGGTTTGGTTTTTGTATCTGGTTAATGAATCCTTCCCTAACCCTGATGTAATGAAAGTTTTCTCTTAGGTATTCATCCTAAGGCTATGTGTACTCACAGTTTGGTTTTTCACATTCAGGTCTAATTCGCCTGAAATTTTACTTACATAAATAATAAGAGTCTACTTGTATCTCATATATGTATACACACATATATAATGCATATACACACATACTCATATGCAACTAGTTGTACCAGCATGTTTATTGAACAGGGTTTTTTCCCCACTGAATTCCCGCACCTCTTCCAAGTTCCCCTATGTTAATATACTGTTTTAAATACTGTTGCTTAATAAAGTTTTGTCAGGGCGGATCTCCCCTTACTCTGCTTTAAAATTGTCTTGTCTACTATTGAGCCTTTTACAAAGCTCTCATGTTAATTTTATGATCAGAATATTTCGTTTCTGTGAAGAACCCCATTGGGATTTGGGGGGGAATCCATTGAATTTATAGAATGGTTTAAGAAAATTTTTATCTTTCTATATCAAATTGTCTCATCTTTGAAAATGATATATTTCTCATTTTATTTGCTTTTCATTTCACTCAATAAAGTTTTATAATTCTTTGTGAAATGATTGTATTGTATCTTTTGTTATCAATATTCTAGGTGCCTTGTAATTGTTGCAATTGTAAGCTTTATCTTTTAAAAATTACATCTCTAATTGTTGGTATTTAGGAACTTCACTGACCTTTGTATATCAGTCTTATATCCAGCAGCTTTTATTAATGCTAATTGTTTAAATGTATTTTCAGTGTATGGAGTCTTTTTTTGTGTATGGAATTTTTTTTTTCATGTCTTAATGCACTGCCTAAGAACTATAGAATAATGTTGAGTAGAAATATTAATAGTCTTTTTCCTGACTTTAAAGGGAATGCTTCTATATTTCATTAAGTATGAAATTTACTACCAGATATTAGTAAATATACTTTAAGTAAATATATCTTCTAGTTCTTATTTGCTGAGAAGTTTGTTGTCTTTTAAGTCATGAGTGGATGTTAAATTAAATTTTACCAATGTTGTGTGCTATTAAGTGAGTTGTAGAGCTTTCCTTCTTTTTCAGCTCTCTTTTTAAGAATATGTATTAGGGCCGGCCCGGTGGCGCACTGGATAGTGCGCCGCTTGGGAAGCGCGGCGGCGCTCCCGCCCAAGGGTTCGGATCCTACATATAGACCGGTTCCCACTCACTGGCTGAGCGAGGCGCGGGAGCAACACCGAGGTTTGCAATCCCGTTGCTGGTCCCCGGTCCGGTACGGGGGCAACACTGAGGGTTGTGATCCGTTGCCGGACACGGAAAAAAGACAAAAAGACAAAAAAAAAAAAAAAGAATATGTATTAGATTGGAATAATCTGTTTCATGAAGATTTGATACATCTCCTCTTTATAGTCATCCAGACAGTATGGTTTTAGTGGGTGCATTTTGTGTGTTAGGGGATGGGAAGTAAAGGAGGTAGATTTAAACTACTGATTCAGTTTCCATAATCGTTAACAGATTTATAAGAAATTATCTATTTTATCTGATTTTTCCATGTATTTGGTATAAAGTTGTTCATAGTATTATTTTAACATCGTTCTTTTACCTTTGCCACTCCTCCTTTTATTCCTAATATAATTTATTTTTTCCTTCTTTGTAATTTGTTTTGATCATTCTTGCCAGTCTTGTCTATTTTATTATTAGTTTCAGAGAACCAGCTTTTGTTTTTATGGATCCTCTCAATTGTTTTTTGTTTTAGATGAGTTATTTTTCAGAGTTTTTTGTTTGTTTATTCATTTGTTTTGATTAAACACTCCTCAGCCCAGCTATGTCCTAGCATGTGTTACCTCAAAAATATGTTTTCCCAAAGTTTTAAAAACTTGAAAGCACTTAGTTTTAATTCTGAGTAAATACCTGAAGCAAAGAAACAGAACTGTTTTCCCATTATCTTTCATATAACTGTGTGCCATTTTTGGTGTATAGTCTTTTTTCCATCTACTACTATGTCCTTTTTATTCTCTGTTTCCCCCTATGGATGGAGTATAATATGGGATTCATTTTATCTTTGTTCTTAAAATTATTTAATACCTCTGTGCATTAGACCCTCTTAAAAAATCACATTTTGAAAGACTAATATTTTTAGATTATGAATTGAAAGTTTTCTCAGAAATACAAAATTAATGTAAAATGAATTTATTTGTTTTTTTTTTTTTTTCCCTTTTTTGTCTTTTTTCGTGTCCGGCAACGGATTGCAACCCTCAGTGTCACGCCCCTACCGGACCAGGACCGGAAACGGGATCGCAAACCTCGGTGCTGCGCCCACACCTCGCTCAGCCAGTGAGCGGGAACCGGTCTGCATGTGGGATCCGAACCCTCGGCGGGAGCGCCACCGCGCTCCCAAGCGGCGCACTGTAGCAGTGCGCCACTGGGCCGGCCCAATTTATTTGTTTTTAAACCTTAGAGAATAGAAACTTTTATTATTCAAATAACTTTGTCAGGGCTGACTGGTTAGCTCAATTGGTTAGAGCACAGGCTTGTAACACCAAGGTCATGGGTTCAGATCCCCATACAAGCCAGCTGCCAAAAAAAAAAAAAATTGAATACAAATGAGTTTGTCTTTTCCCTTTATAATTTTTAATATGTAGTGATTTTTATCAGAGTAATATAACTCTACACACACTAAAATTTTTATTTTTTAAGTTTATTTATTAATATTATTGGTTTGTTACATGCTATGATGTTGCAGAGCAGCTTGTGGGGAGGGTGAGAGGAGAAAGGGGAAGGAAACAGAGTGGGAGAAGTAGGAAGGAGGGGTGTAATTGAGGCCCGTCACACGCCCTCATTCCTGCAGGGGAGACCAGGAGATTTCCAGTGGTGGCCTGGTCATTGCTGAGCTGGGTGCAGATGTCAGAGGGGTGTGGCTAAAGCCCTCACCCCCACCACTCTCCCCTGCCACCACCCCAGCTCAGGAGCCCAGGCTGCTCTCTGTGGCAGCTCAGGGGTCATCACTGAGCTGGTTGCAGGTGTCGGGGGGGATGTGGCCAAGGCCCCCAGTCCTTCCCCCTCCCTGACTTAGTAGCCTAGGGCACTTCCGGCCCTTCTACTTTTATAGGTGTTCTTTGGTGATGTGAGACCTTTACTAGTTAATATCGAACTTTGTCTCTGGTCTGTGGGTATTTTGTTTTTTCTTTCAGTTCTATATTGAAGTTCTGTGTTCAGTTCTATTATTTGCTGTTCTTACCACTTAAACTCTGCACTGGAACTAATTTGTTGTCCTTTGCTTACTTCTAAAATTGGGGAACTTCCTGTGGGGACCAGTACTTGAGCTCTGTGGTTGAGCTAAATTGTTGCATCGCTGCTGATTCCCTGGGGAAGGCTTTTTGTGTAGCTCAGGTTTTAATGGTTGATTTTATAGGTTCTTCCAGGTGTCATGAGATCTGGTACACCTGAGTGGTGTAGAAACTTCAGTCTGGGCCTGAGTCTTTTCAGCTAACTGCACCCCCTGCAGTTCTATATTTCTTTCCAGTCTCCACTGAGTGGTTCTATGCTCATTGGGGGGGCAGATCCACTGTCCTTGCTGTGCCCCAGTGTCCCCCCAGCGGGCCCTTCTCCCCTACCACCTGTTCTCCAAACACTTCCCATGGAACGGGGCCATGCAGCTGTCCCTGCGCCGGTCTTTGCGATGACTCACTGGTCTGTGAATGGCTCCTTTTTTTCGGTTGTTGTGGCTCCTCCTATGTGGGTCCACAGGAACCCTATTAGTAGTCTTGTTGGCATGGGGGTCACCAAAGCCCTCTTCTCTCCTGTAGCCCCCAAGCAACTCCATCCAAAGGGCACAGCACTGGCTTTTGCCAGCTCTTTCTCCATGTGCTCACCAGCTCCAGCCTTGAAGAGGCTGGGGCTCAAAATGGTCGGAGCAGTTCTTTCTTTCTCTCTCTGTGGCTTCTCCCACCTTCACGCACTCTGTAGGTCTCTCCTCCTGTTCCCTTGAACTCCAGCGAACCCAGCTTGGCTGTCTTTGGTTTTTAATGGTTGTAAATTGGTTGATTTATGGGAGAGAGGGATGCTGAGGACCATCTCTTCCTCCATCTTCACTAAGTCAAATTGAAAAAGCTAAAGAGATTGTAAGTATTTGGTGATCCATAGATTCAGAGGTTTTTGTTTGTCTGGTTTTTGGTTTTTGGTTCTTTACTCATCCATATGATTGGTTAGATATTCTTGTGGCTTTTTATTAACTTTTATTACATTTTTATTTAGTATATATCACTATACTTTGAAATTTTAGGTAGGTTTATATTGTAATGCTTCCTAATTTACACAAATTCTAGATAATAAATTTTATATTTAGGCTATTGGTTTAATGTTTTTGTGTTCTTTGTCATCTTAAGGTCATACTAGACACAAAGTGGAGGAAGCTCTTATAAATGAAGAAGCAATTTTGAACCTCATGGAAAATAGTCAGACTTTTCAGCCTTTGACCCAAAGACTGAGTGAGTCACCAGTTTTCAGTAAGTGACAATGCTACTGTAAAAATTCAGTGTTTAAAATCAGTGAAAGTGTGTGTTGTGAAGGGCTGTTTTTTTCTTTGATATGAATAGATTAATGTTGCATGTTCAATAAATACCTACTGTACTGAATATGAAAGTGAAACCTTGCATTAAACCAAATAGGCCTTTTTATTAATGTGAAAGAAAATCGTTTCTTTTTTTTGTTTTTAATTTTACTTTGAGGGAAAACCATATTGCTATAAATACCTACTGTACTGAATATGAAAGTGAAACCTTGCATTAAACCAAATAGGCCTTTTTTTTAATGTGAAAGAAAATCGTTTCTTTTTTTTGTTTTTAATTTTACTTTGAGGGAAAACCATATTGCTTTAGGAGAAAAATGAACTTATATTTTGAGTTATTCTCCAAAGTTAAATACATTAATAAAACATCATAATTTTTTTTTCTTCATTAGTATTAGAAATTTCACTGAACAATTCCTCTGAAGCCATTAATTTTTGGCCAGCATCATACATGGCAGTTATTTGAATGTCTTTGCACTACCCTAAATGAATTTTCATTAGCGTCATAAACCATTTACAAGATTTCTTTTTAATAATTAATAGTCTTACTGACATCTTTTGCAGAAATTTAATATTTTGTTGTATAAAGTGAGATATCATTAAACCTCCTGCCTCTTGTTTTGCTTGATATAGTGATTTTATGTTTCTTTCCTTTCTCACTTTCTGTTTTTTTCATTTTTATACTACTAAATGTTATCCCAGCTTCATATAATGTCCTCTCTCTGTTACTTACATTTTTCATCTGAATGGAACTGATTATGGACAATGGCAAGATTACTGTACACATTTATATTTTGAAAACGTTTTAACCAGAGATAGAACTTCTTTCTTTTTTAAATGATTGACCACATGCAGAAAGAAATCATCCTAAGACCACACTAAAAAAGTAATTTGAGATTTATAGTCTAAAATTAGTGTTCTATTTTTCATCAGAATAAATTAGTATATATACCAAAGTATTTTAAATTACATTCTAGTTGTAAAAAAATAGTTAAGAGTGGATTATGGAAAAGTTAAGGAATTAAAAAAGAGGTGAGCAAGAGAGGCATATCCCTGTTTCATTATATTAGGAAAATATATCGCATTATTAACAGATAAGCTTGAGGTTACAAAAATGCAATCTCAATGTTATCAAAAATCTGAGAGGCAAATATATATAATTCATTTGCTAACACTTAATTTTTCTAAAGTATGAGGAAGGAAAAATAAATTATAATTATAGGTTTAGGAAATGGGCCATTACCAAAATAGCTCTTATAAGCAAATATTTTCATTTTTGTATTACATTTGGTAGCATGACTGAACCGATTTCTTTAATGTCAGCAAAGAAAACCTAAAACTTGATATTTATTAAATGGGAAATGTATTGCCTCATTTTACAGAGGAAAAAGGTTGTGTAGTAGATTAGAACAGACTTTCATCTTATGGATCTTGGATCTTTCTTTTCTTTTTTTTGGCAGCTGGCCAATGTGAGGATCCAAACCCTTGACCTTGGTGCTCCTTTTTTTTTTTTTTTTTTTTTTTTTTTTTTTAATAACAGCTCCGTTGAGATATACTTCACATACCGTAAAATTCACCATCTAACTTGTACAATGCAGGATTTTTAGCATATTCATGGAGTTGTGCAACCATTACACTATCTAATTTTAGGACATTTTTATCACCCCAAGAAGAAACCCTGTACCCATTAGCAGTCACTCCCTGTCCTTCCTCCCAGCCCACGGCAACCATTAGTCTATTTTCTCTTTTGCTGGATTTACTTATTTGGGGCATGTTATATAAATGGAATCATATAGCCTTTTGTATTTGACTGCTTTCATTTATCATAATGTTTTCAAGGTTCATCCATGTTATAGCAAATATCAGTACTTCATTTTTTTTTGGCTGAATAATATTTCATCATATGGATAATACCATACTTTATTCATTCATCAACTGATGCATATTTGGGTTGTTTCCACTTTTTTGGTTATTATGAATGCTGCTATGATTATTCATGCACAGGTTTTTGTGTGAACATATGTTTTCAGTTTTCTTGGATATATATGTAGGAATGGAATTGCTGGGTATGTTTAACATTTTTGAGAAACTGCCAGTGACTGTACCATTTTATAATCTCACCAGCTACGTATGTGGATCCCAATTCTTCACATCCTTGCCAACACTTATTATCTGTCTTTCTGATTTTAGCAATCCTAGTGTGTATGAAGTTGTTTTATAAGTAATACTTATAATCCCTTTTAAAGCTCTCTTGTATTTTTCAACTACAGATTTCCTTTGAATATACTATAAGCTAAATAAAGCTTAAGTAAGTGATAAGGTGTTTACATGTATAATTTTTAAGTTACTTTCTTAGCATTAATTTATAAATTGACTATATATTTATTTTGAATACTTGTGGTCATGTTTGGTTTAGTGCTCCTCAAGCTTAAGTGTGTAATAAGAGCTTGGACACCTTGTTAAAATGCAAATTCCTGGGCCCTACCCCAGAAATTCTGATTCAGTAGGTGTGGTTTGGGGTCTGAGAATCTTCTTTTTAATAAAATTGCTAAATTATTCTACTGCAGATGGTCCAAGGATCACACTTTGATGGGAGAGCTATATCAACACCAGAGCCTTTGCACCAACTGTATTCTTTAACATGTGCCAACATCTATGATGATTTTGTTTTTTTACAATTGATCTGGATTTTTGGATTATTTAGAAAATTTAAGTTATTTGTTGGTGATTTCTTCACATGTTTTGTAGTAGACAGCAGTCCCGATGAGGCTCTGGTACACCTTCTTGCTGGTTTGGAAAATGATGGATATCAGGGGGAAAGAAATAGGATGCCATCGCCACGTCACTCCTTTGAAAACACTAGGTATCCCCAAAATAGTGATGATGAAGAGAATGAACCACAGATTGAAAAAGAAGAAATGGAGCTTAGTTTGGTGATGTCCCAGAGATGGGATAGCAATATTGAAAAGCATCGTGCCAAAAAGAGGTAGATTTTTTAGTTATTTCAGTTATTTTAATTACTTTCATTTGTCATTGTCACTGTTCTTTCATCAGAAATTACATCTTACTATTATTCATAATTTAAAATGCCTTATGAACCAGATTGACTTCTTTTAAATCCCTTTTAATTAGTAGTTTGTTTTTCATATGGCATATACTTCATATTCCAAGCAAAATAAAGTTTTGCTACATTTAAAAAGATTAAATCTAACTTTTAGAAGGCATTTATTTATATGTACAATATTAAAATATGTGAGAGATAAATGAGGCAAAATTGAAGGGCCTCCTTATATCAGAACTTGAAAAAAGGAATGCCCTTTGATAGTTAAACAGTTATGGATCAGAGTGGCAATATAAAGAGGCAGTTTAAAGACAAGGTATGACTTCCAGTTCTGATTAGACAGAAGGAATTAAATATTAACAACAAATAAATCAATCCAAGAAGCAAACACTGACATTTTGGTTTGTTTCTCAATATAAATGAATAAGATGTTACTGTGGTTTTCTTAATCAGTCTCTGTGAGCTTCATTGGTTTGAGTCTGCCCCTGAACATTATGCTCTGTGTATAGAAAAAATTAGGCCTCTGAGCCTGAAAGACTGAGTATATCTCTCCTTTAAACTTCTGTAGGCTATTCTAGAACTTCTAAAGTCTGTGTTCAAAAACTACCCCAAAGCCGTACTGAAAAGTGAAAGAGGCTAATTCATAAATTCAGTATTTAATTGTATATAACATGAGTTTTCATCTTTGTACTTAATAAATCAGGGTATGGAGATCTCCAGATGTGGTGTTATAGTCTTCTCTCTAACATAGTCTCTAATGTAATAATAGGCATGGTTTATCCTGTGATTAAATTCATGCTTTTGTGTACATTGACTGGATGAGTTCTGTGAAAACCATGCTCAATTTAACCTTGGTAAAACAAACCTAAACATTTCATAAACATATGTTGGAGAGAGATTGAATAGTAGAAGTGCAGTGTCTAGAAAAAGAACTAGTTCATTCTACTCTCTGTGTTGGTGTTGTATTCTGCCCTGAGTACAATATTTTAAGAATATTGAGACAGTAAAGGAAAGGGATAGAAGAGGAAGAAAACTATAAGAATCTGTGAACACTGTCATTTTTGAAGAATATTTGAATAGAGAATGTTTGGTCTAATTAGAGAGGAATTATAGGACAGGTGATAAATGTCTTCATATATTTTAAGGTTATTGTGTGGAAAATGGCACAGACTTGCTCTGTATGGCTACAGAGAACAAAAGCAGGAATAATATATGGAAATTGAAAAGAAAGATTTTGTGTAATATAGGAAGACAATTACTAAAAATTAGAGCCATTAACAAAGGAAAGATGACCCTGTGAGACAGTAAGCCCTTTGCCCAGAGAATGTAAAAGCAGAAATTGTCAGTTCTGTTAAAGATGGGGTTTTTGCATTGGGTAGAAAGTTGGATTAGATGACTTATAATATCTCTTTCTGCTCTTAAGGGAGTGATTTTATGACAAATTGTGATTTGGAAAAGACTTAATGGAGAAACTTCCATTTATGATAAAGGTGTATTATTTCCAAATTTTTGAGACCAGAGAAAGAAAACAATGGGTATGGATAGAAAGTAAGTTTGCCCATCCAGACAAAAGGAAAAGTATTAAGTTAGTATCACTGAGATGAAACTTAAAGAGACTGTCTAAATGCACTTCACAGTCCATCTGAATTCTTTAGTAGCCTTACTTTTAGCCATTGTCAGACCAATTCAACACCTTTACTACTTCCTACCCTCTCTGATTCCTGATATTTTCTCTCCAGCCCTGACCTGAATGCCCTCTCACTAGCCTTTATGTTCCTGTCTTTTCCAATTCAGAATGTAGTGATTATGTATTTATGGATGCCACCTTTTTAGAAATTACTGTGTTCTCACCCAAGCTGTAATATGTATATATCAGGATAGAATGAAGGAGAGAATATAAGAAAGAACATGATTAGGTATGGAAATCCAGGATATTGTGGAACTGTGAATGCAAGAATTATGGTGTCTTCTAGCTCACATGAAAGGGATTATAGAGTCTATTTACAATAAATTTTTGCAGGTAGTATAGTAGGACATGTTAATAAAGCAAAGTAAATACGCTTTTCTTTTCAGAGTTACAATTTTTAGATCTTTTTATTGTTTTACTGTTAAAGAGTCAAATTAGACATCTTTTCTGATGATCATACTCACCAATGAATGTTAATATTTTCTAGATCACTGTGCAAAAACACCCGAAGAAGTTCAACAGAAGATGATGATTCATCTTCAGAAGAAGAAATGGAATGGAGTGATAACAGTTTGCTTCTAGCCAATCTTTCTATACCTCAGTTAGATGGAACTGCAGATGAAAATAGTGGTAAGTAAACAAGTCTCCTGTGAGCATTTGGCTATTTAGGGGCTAAAATATATTTGATTTTGAAACTGTAATTACACTTTCTATATAGTTAGCTAAGTGAGGCTATCATGATACTATTATGTATTGTCCTTCAGGATTTTTTCTTTTGAAAGAATGTAGATATGTGATTCTTTCTTATTTCTAAGAAGTATAACGTTTGTTGATCCCTGATTTCAAGCTTTGTAAACTTTAATCAATTTATTGTGTTAACATTGAAGTAGCATAAGAAACTGTAAGAAACATGCTCAACTTACTTGAAGTGATAATATAAAGAAGCATATTATTTTATGAAAAAGTTTTTTTTTTTTTTTTTTCCTTTTTTTGTCTTTTTTCGTGACCGGCAACGGATCGCAACCCTTGGTGTTGCGCCCGCACCACGCTCAGCCAGTGAGCGGGAACCGGTCTCCACATGGGATCCGAACCCTCGGCGGGAGCGCCACCGCACTCCCAAGAGGCGCACTGTAGCAGTGCGCCACCGGGCTGGCCCTATGAAAAAGTTTTAAAGTAACAGCATTTTTCTCTTATTCCCCCAAAGGTACTGAATAGTAATATAATTTATTTCTCATTAAAGGAATCATGTTTAAGATAATAATTAATAATTGTAAGTAACTCTTGATTATTTAGGCTGAATTATTATCTTAATGATAGGAGTGACCATTTTAAACATGCAAACTTAATTTTATATAATTTCATAATGCTAGTATCTTGGTATGCGAAAATATTTTAAAAATTAAAAGAGTGGGAATGAAATAATGTTTTTTTTTCCTTGTTCCAGACAATCCATTGAACAACGAAAATTCTAGAACCCACTCTTCTGTGATTGCAACCAGCAAGCTATCAGTAAAACCCTCCATCTTTCACAAAGATGCTGCTACGTTAGAACCCCCATCTTCTGCTAAGATTACCTTTCAGTGTAAACACACAAGTGCCCTTTCTTCCCATGTTTTGAACAAGGAAGATTTAATTGAAGACCTTTCACAGCCAAACAACACAGAAAAAGGTCTGGATAATTCAGTCACTTCTTTTACAAATGAAAGCACTTACTCTATGAAATACCCTGGAACTTTAAGCAGTACTGTTCATTCAGAAAATTCTCATAAAGAGAGTAGTAAAAAAGAAATCCTCCCAGTGTCTTCCTGTGAAAGTAGTATTTTTGATTATGAAGAAGATATTCCATCTGTTACAAGACAAGTACCAAGTAGAAAGTATACGAACATTAGAAAGGTTGAAAAGGATGTCCCTTTTATACATGCGAACTGTCACACTAGCGAGAATACACTGGGCAAAAACTCTTTCAACTTTTCTGACTTAAGTCATTCAAAAAATAAATTATCCTCTGAAGGAAATGAAAAAGGAAACAGCACAACTCTGAATAGTTTATTCCCTTCATCATTAACTGAAAATTGTGAATTGCTGTCATGCTCAGGGGAGAATAGAACTGTGGTGCATTCTCTTGATAGCATAGCTGATGAAAGTGGACTAAATAAACTTAAAATTAGATATGAAGAATTTCAAGAACATAAAACAGAAAAGCCAAGCCTCAGTCAGCAGGCAGCACATTATATGTTTTTTCCCAGTGTTGTTCTTTCTAATTGTCTCACTAGACCACAGAAACTATCTCCTGTCACGTATAAACTACAACCTGGCAATAAACCATCCCGGTTAAGATTGAATAAAAAGAATCTTGTCAGTCATCAGGAGACTTCTACCAACAGTAGTGAGACTGGATCCACAAAAGATAATTGTATACAAAATAATCCTTGTAATAGTAATCTTGAGAAGAATAATGTATTGGCCAGTGATTTAATTAAAGCCACTCGTGGAACTTTTGAAAATAAAACACCTACAGATGTTTTTATAGACTGTCACTTTGGAGATGGAACCTTAGAAACTGAGCAGTCCTTTGGACTGTATGGAAATAAATACACACTTAGAGCCAAACGCAAGGTAAATTATGAGACTGAAGATAGTGAGTCAAGTTTTATAACACACAACTCAAAAATTAGCCTACCTCATCCCATGGAAATTGGTGAAAGTTTAGATGGAACTCTCAAATCTCGAAAACGAAGAAAAATATCTAAAAAGCTACCCCCTGTCATCATAAAGTATATTATTATTAATAGATTTAGAGGGAGAAAAAATATGCTTGTGAAACTAGGAAAAGTAGACTCTAAAGAAAAACAAGTAATATTAACAGAGGAAAAGATGGAACTATATAAAAAGCTTGCACCTTTGAAGGATTTTTGGCCAAAAGTTCCTGACTCTCCTGCAACCAAATATCCCATTTATCCACTAACACCAAAGAAAAGTCACAGAAGAAAGTCAAAACATAAATCTGCTAAGAAAAGAACTGGTAAGCAACAAAGGACAAATAGTGAAAATGTCAAAAGAACTTTGTCTTTCAGGAAAAAACGATCACATGCTATTCTTTCTCCTCCTTCACCATCTTACAATGCTGAAACCGAAGACTGTGACTTGAATTATTGTGATGTCATGTCCAAACTAGGTTTTCTTTCTGAGAGAAGCACAAGTCCCGTAAATTCTTCACCACCTCGCTGCTGGTCTCCCACTGATCCAAGAGCTGAAGAAATTTTGGCGGCTACAGAGAAAGAAGCAATGCTTTTTAAGGGTCCTAATGCACATGGTAGTAAGACTATTAATTCCCGTATAGGGAAAAATAGTCGAGCAAGAACACAGGTTAAGAAATCAAAAGCAAAGCTTATTAATCCTTCTGCAGTTACTAAGAAAAGAAACAGACGAAATCAGACAAGTAAACTAGTAGATGATGGAAGAAAGAAACCAAGAACAAAACAGAAGCAAAAAACAAATGAGAAAGGTACATCAAGAAAACACATAACGCTTAAGGATGAAAAAGTCAAATCTCAGTCTGGTGCTGAAGTTAGGTTTGTGCTGAAACACCAGAATGTATCTGAGCTTGCAAATAGTTCTGGAGACTCTCAATTACTTTTTAAACAGAAGGATGTGTCACTAATGGGCTCTGATCATCCCCTTTCTGCTCCCCTACCCATTGGAATTAATGCACAACAGAAGTTATCTGGCTGCTTTTCTTCTTTCTTAGGAAACAAGAGGTCTGTAGATTTGCAAACATTCCCCAGTTCAAGAGGTGATTTGCATGCATCAGTTGTTTGTAGTTCTATTGGACCTGGAATCTCAAAAATTAATGTTCAGAGGTCTCATAATCAAAGTGCTATGTTTACTCTAAAGGAATCAACCTTGATTCAAAAAAATATATTTGACCTTTCTAACCATTTGTCTCAGGTAGCACAGAATACACAGATATCTTCGGGTATAATGTCTCCAAAGACAGAAGAGAATGCAAGTATACAAAAAAACTATTTGTCATCTATCAGAAAGTTAAATGAATATCACAATTCCTTAGAATCAAAGCCAGACCAAATATATGCCCCTAATTTTTTGCATTGCAGAGATAGTCAGCTGCAGACTGTGTGCATGGCAGAACAGTCAAAGCACAGTGAAACTTGTCCTCCAGGAAATGCAGCTTCAGAGGACAGCCAAATGCCTAATAATTGCTTTGTAACTTCTTTGAGAAGTCCAGTCAAACAAATAGCATGGGAGCAAAAACAACAAGGCTTTATTTTAGATATGTCAAACTTTAAACCTGAAAGGGTAAAACAAAGGTCATCATCAGAAGCAATTTCACAAACCAAAGCACTGTCTCATTGTAAAAATCGAAATGTGTCAACACATTCAACTTTTGGTGAAGGACAGTCTGGACTGGCAGTTCTAAAAGAATTGTTACAAAAAAGGCAGCAGAAAGCACAAAATACAAATGTTATGCAAGACCCATTATCTAATAAATATCAACAAAACAAAAATATTTCTGGTTCCCTTGAGCATAACAAAGCAAGTAAACGGACACGATCGATAACATCTCCAAGAAAACCTCGAACTCCCAGAAGTACAAAACCTAAAGAAAAAATTCCCAAACTTCTAAAAGCAGACTCTCTAAATTTACAAAACTCTGGCCAGATAGATAACTCCCTATCAGATGATAGTCCCATCTTTTTTTCAGATCCAGGTTTTGAAAGTTGTTATTCACTTGAGGATAGCTTGTCTCCTGAACATAATTATAATTTTGATATTAACACAATAGGTCAGACTGGATTTTGTAGCTTTTATTCTGGAAGTCAGTTTGTCCCAGCTGATCAGAACTTGCCTCAGAAGTTCCTAAGTGATGCTGTTCAGGATCTTTTTCCAGGACAAGCTATAGAAAAAAATGAGTTTTTAAATCATGACAACCAGAAGTGTGATGAAGAGAATCATCATGCCTCAGACTCAACCTCATGGATTAGATCTGGTACTTTAAGTCCTGAACTTTTTGAGAAATCATCCATAGACAGCAATGAGCATCATCGCCGCAACTTGTGGAAAAATAGCTTTCATCCTCTAACAACTCGGTCTAATTCAATAATGGATTCTTTCTGTGTCCAGCAAGCAGAGGACTGTCTAAATGAAAAATCCAGATTGAATAGGAGTTCAGTAAGCAAAGAAGTGTTTCTTAGCCTCCCACAGCCAAGCAGTTCAGACTGGATTCAAGGTCACCCAGGAAAGGAAATGGAACAGTCTCTTGATTCAGTCAATACCTCTTTTACTACAATACTCTCTTCCCCTGATGGTGAACTTGTGGATGCAGCCTCTGAAGATTTAGAATTGTATGTTTCAAGAAACAATGATATGTTGACATCAACTCCTGACAGTTCACCAAGGTCTACCAGCTCTCCCTCACAATCTAAAAATGGCAGTTTCACACCTCGAGCTGCTCACATTCTGAAACCCCTTATGTCCCCACCAAGTAGGGAAGAAATTATGGCAACTTTGTTGGATCATGACCTTTCAGAAACTATTTACCAGGAACCATTTTGCAGTAATCCTTCTGATGTACCAGAAAAGCCCAGGTAATCAGAATTATTTTTCTTCTCTTGAATCACTCTGAATAATTATAATGTATATAATATTTATTACCTGACTATTAGTTTTCTGTCTGTGATACTGTATTTATAAGTATATCGTTGTGAAAACTATTCATAATTATAGACTTATTAAGAAAATTCACAAACTAACTGGATGGTTGCACCTAGAGAAATTTATTTAAATTGATGAGTATTGGACTTGGATCTACTATTATCTAACACTGTGTCTCCATTCAGGATTAGAAGCACAGAGGCTCGCTGTGACATGATGCAAAATTAAGAAGGATGTCTTAATACTTTAAAAAGTATTATTACATAGATCATTTTAAAATGGTATTTATTTTTTAAATGTCAAAGTTTTATACTTTTGAGAAAGAACTTCATTTATTAAAAAGTGAAAATGAACATATGTATGTTTTAAAGTACTCCTATGATAGTTCTCTAAATGAAGATTAAGTTGTTTCTAGTATAAACCACTTTTCATGTAGTTTCAACATCTTCAGTCATAGTGTTAGTATTGTTAGTTTACATAGTTGTTAGGTGTGCAAATTGGCTTTGGTTTCTCTTATCTCTTCTTTAAGAATCTTTAAAAGGATGTGATAAACAAACACATACACATCGAATAGCAAAATGAGAATCAAAGTACTAGTTGACTTATTAGTAGCTGAGAAATTATCCTATACCACCTTTATCACCAAGTTAGAGCATATCTGATAAGAGCTAAATTGGAAAACGTGGCTTAATCCAGTTTTAAATGATGGTTCTTGTTCCTGTCCCTATGTCTATGATCCCATATTCTTAACCAGTTGTAGAGAGAAGAAGTTCATTTCAGCCATCCAGTCAGAAGTAGAAGAGGATAACTGGGACTGCTAACCCTGGTCCTGCTTTAATCTAAATCATGGAAAGGGATATGAAGAGCCAATTAAGGCAGAGGCTATGCTGCATGTATGCACTGACCGTTAGCAGCATCCTGACTCATTTAATAAAAAAAGATGCACTGTGGGCACATATTGTTATACATTTGTCCAAACCCATAGAATGTATAGTGCCGAGAGTGAACCCAGATATAAACTAGGGACTTTGGATGATTGTGATGTGTCAATGTAGGTTCGTCAGTTGTAACACATGTACCACTTTGGTTGGGAATGATGATAATGGGGGAGGCTATACATATGTGGGTGTGAAGGGACTATATGAGAAATCTCTGTACCTTCCTTTTACTTTTGCTGTGAACCTAAAACTACACTTAAAAAGTCTTTTTTAGACAAAAAAAATTGTTTAAAGACACAATGAATGCCAGACTTTTACCCAGCAGATTAGCAATAATTCCTATAGAAGTTTAATTAAGAAAGGGGTGAGAGTGTGAGATGATGAATATGTTAATTTGTTTCACTGTAATAACCATTATACTATATATGTATCTCATAACATCATGTTGTATACCTTAAATATACACAATAAAATTTTTTTAAAAAGTGGGAGTGAGAAAAGGTTCTCAGAAATATAGAAGTTCCCTCCTATAATGACTTGAAATAAAAGGCAGAATCATTCCCTTCCCTTCTCAATACACAGTATTGTTTTGTTTTGCTTAGTACCCGCATGGGACTTTTTTCTCTTCATTTCACTGCTATAATATATTAAGGTCTATTCCTTAGACATTTGTTTCCATCATTTTGGGGCTTTGACTTCATCAGTAGTGATTACTGCTATCTTTTTAATTTTTAGTTACCAAATTTATCATGTGCTAGTCATTAACTTAGTGTTGCTGCTAGTTGCTATTGTCCATCTTTGACACTTGTCTTGCAGCTAAAATAAAAGGATGATAGTCCCTTTTGAAAATCACTTTTGCTTTTTGAATATGAAACTATGTATTCAATATAGAAAATTCAGGAAGCATAAAAGATAAAGAAATAAAAATCACACCATTTCTCTACCTAGTGACAGCCACCATAATTATCTTAATGTGTTTTCTTAGTTTTTAAAATATGTATAGTTTTTAGTTTGTTTTGCTTTGTGAAGTGTGATCTTACTGTAGTCACAGTATTGTATCCAAATTATATTAACTTTATATTATGAACATTTTCCAAATGTGTGAGTTTCTTGAAGTATCATTTTAATTAGCTGTATAATATTCTATCTTGTGTATATTATTGGACTTAGAGGTTATTTCCTGTCTTGCCACTATAGATAAATTATGTGATTAATATCTTTTCCATAAAGCAGTTCTTATATTTTTGGAATTTTTCCCTATAGACCCAGAAGTAGGATTACTGAAAGTTTTAAGTCTCTTGATATATATTATGAAAGTTTTCCTCAATGAGTTATAGCAATTACCATGCTGCTGACAATATGCAAGAAAGCATAATTCACCACATCTCACCAGTTTGTTATTCTTGACTTCATTATGACCTATATATCATTAGTATTAGAGTTAAGTGTGGTCACATGGTATGTGCACTTATTTCCTTCACAGCAATAATTATGTTTCTGATTTTTCACATAGCCAGGGAGTTGGTACAGGAAAGGTGCTAGATGCTTGTTCTCGAGTTAACTAGTAGGGGCCAAAATCTTTCCATACAAAGAGGACAAGAACTCCTCCTTCAGCTCCAAATTAGAAAACATGAATTCAGTTGATTAAGTTTTATCTAGAGTGACCAGGACATTCAGGAATTTGTGCCCTCAGAGAAATGATTGAAAAAACTAAGAACTATCTTCATATCCATAAGAATTATCATGAGGAAGAAAAAGTAGACTTATTTTATGTTGCCGCAGTAGGCAGAAATATGAGTAGTATCAATGGATTAGAGAAAGAGGTTTTACTTAGTGTTTATAACTACTGAAAACTAAACTAGACTTTTTTTTTTTTTTTTTTTTGTCCTTTTTGAGACCGGCTGACCGCGTTCAGCCAGTGAGCACATCGCACCGACCATCCCTATATAGGATCTGAACCCGCGGCGGGAGTGCTACTGCGCTCCCAGCACTGCACTCTCCCGAGTGCGCCACAGGCTCAGCCCTAAACTAGACTATCTTTTAGTTAGCGATCCCCACATATACATTAGTAGCATTTAAGCTATGCATTCTATAGGCTCTGCCACCTCCTAAGTTCTTATGTTGGTATTAAATACTGCCATGTAAAAAGAAGAAGGAACTATGGTAATTTACCTCAGTTGTGTGTGATTATTTTAGTGTTGGAGAGAATTTGGGGACTACAAAAATTGTTTGAATTGACTGGCTTTGCTAAACTACTATAGATACTAAAGAATATAGAAAGAAGCTATAGATAAAACCGAGGGATATAGTCTCTGAATGATGAATTAATACATTGTTTTTACTCCATGTGTAGTGACAGTGGAAAGTTGCTTAAGATTAATAGAGGAAAGAAATCTGTTTGTGTCATTTCCTTGAAGGAAAGAAGCCTACATGGGAGACTAAAAACAAAAAATACATTCTCTCCCTGGTTTTGATGATACCTTCCAAAGTAAATTAATCTAATAGTCATATGCCTGCGAGACGAAGCATACTGAGACTAAAGATAGAGTGTACCTGCGTAAAATAGGGTTGGGGAGAGAAAGAGATGGGCATTTGTAAGACTCCAAAAGGGACATTAACAATCTCTAGCACAGGGAGTTAAATATTTTGGTAATTGCTCCTTGAGATGAAACAGTTGTTCTAAAATATGTTGTTTATAGGGAAATTGGTGGACGGCTCCTCATGGTAGAAACTCGACTTCCAAATGATCTGGCTGAGTTTGAAGGAGACTTTTCCTTGGAAGGACTTCGTCTGTGGAAAACAGCTTTTTCAGCAATGACTCAGAATCCAAGACCAGGGTCACCCCTGCGCAATGGCCAAGCAGTTGTCAATAAAGGATCAAGTAATAGCCATAAAATGGTTGAAGATAAAAAAATTGTGATAATGCCTTGCAAATGTGCCCCAAGTCGACAACTTGTTCAAGTGTGGCTTCAAGCCAAAGAAGAATATGAACGTTCCAAGAAACTGCCTAAAACTGAGCCACCTGGAGTTGTAAAATCTGCTGAGAACTTCAGCTCTTTGGTTAACGAAGATGACAAGCCTGTAGTGCCTCCAAAAATGGATCCAAGTCCACATATACTCACCACTACAACACATACTAAGGAAGATTTTGATAATTCTCAGATTGTTTTACAAATGCCAAGCACAGGATGTAGTCAAACTTCAAGTGAAGGTCAGACACTGCCACCAGTTGTTGCCTCTACAAATGATCCTGAGAAAGATGAAAATGATGATAACTATGTCAGTTATAGCTCCCCGGATTCGCCAGTAATTCCCCCTTGGCAACAAGCAACATCCTTAGATTCCAGAGTATTAAATGGAATTGATAGACCTTCATCACCAGTAAAGGAGCTATCTTCTCTGGCTGTTGAGAACTTCTTAAAGCCAATAAAAGATGCTATACAGAATAGCCCCTGCAGTGAACCTCAGGAGCCTCTAGTGATATCTCCAATTAATGCTAGGGAAAGAACTGGGAAATGTGAATCACTTTGCCTTCATAGTACCCCAATTAAACAGAGAAAATTTCTGGAAAAGCTTCCTGAAGCAACTGGTCTTAGCCCTTTATCAACAGGTAAGTGTACAAATAACAGAAAGTCTGTGTAATTGTTTTTCAAAGATAGAAATGAAGACATTAGACCATGTAATGAAAATCAGAGCTTTTTAAATGAGGTGATAGCAAATAAGAGATTTTGTTATTTCTTATGTCTTGGAAAGTCGTCACATGGAAACTATTTCATCTTTCTGCTATGAAATCTACTTACATCTGCTTTCGTCCTGTCTTCCTGCCTTCTGGATGAAATACAGGAGCCCTCTCAGAAACCTTACTTTCTTCTCAACTCAGTTTTTCCCATTGATTTTTACACATGCTCAAGTCTCTCTCACCTTTTAAAATAGAAGTAAAACAAAAACCTCCCATAACCTCACATCTCTAGGCAGCCTCTACTTTCGCCTCCCCTTCACAGCCAAGTTCTTAAAAGTTTTCTTTAATTTGACAACTCCATTTATTTGCCTCTTACTCATTTCTCAACCCACTCTAAACTGAATTCTGCCCCCATCATTCCACCATTATGGCTCTTGTAAAGATTCCCAATACACTTCTTATAGCTAAAACCAGTGGATGTTTTTCAGTCTTCTTATCCCATGCCCCCTAAGCATCCATTTTTTTACTGACCACGCCTTCCTTCTTAGAGCTTCTTCTCCCCTGGGCTTTCCACCTACTTCTCTGTTTCTTCCTACTTACTTTCCTTTGAACCTATCTCACTATTCTCAGTTATTATCTAAATGTTGAAGTTTACTAAGGCTTGGTCTTAAGACTTCTATGCTCTCTATTCTTCCCTTAATGATCTAATTCCTGCCCACTGGTTTACTACAAATAACTCACAAGTTTATATTTCCAGTTTAGAACTCTATTTCAAGCTCCAGAACACTATATCTAGCAGCCTGTTTGACATTTTTATTTGAATGCTCAAAGGCAACACAAGTTCAGTATTTTTAAAACCAATTCATGATTTGACTGAACATATTCACCACCACCTCCCCAGCATACTCATACACACTACACACATATATATACCCACAGATAGAAAGCTGTGGGTATTTCAGTTTTATTTATTTTAATGAATAGTACTACCATCTCTCAGTCAGTTACACAAGTCAGAAGCATGCAGTTTATTTAAAACATCCACCTTATTCCCTCAGTACCCACCCCATGTTTTCCAGTTCATTACCAAGTCCTGTCACTTGTTTATTTCTTAAATAATCCATCCACCTTATTCCCTCAGTACCCACCCCATGTTTTCCAGTTCATTACCAAGTCCTGTCACTTGTTTATTTCTTAAATAATCCAAGTCTGTCTACTTCATTTTACCTCTGCCACCACACCTTAGGCCAAGCTGTCATAATCTCTCATCTGGGGTTCTGCACTAGACTTCTTATCCACTCCAAGCAATGTCCAGCTCTTTTGCACAATAATCAGAGAAGATCCCCAATCTGTTACTTACTACTCTATCTGCTTCCCTTACCTCCTTGACTAGATAAAAATCCCCAATTATATTCCCCTTTGTTGTACTTATTCCAGTTATAATTATATTTTTCTGTATGTGTATGATGAATGTCTAATTCTCTCTCTCGATTACATATGAGCAGAGACTATGTCTTTTCTTCCTCCTCATAAATATTTGATAAGTACATAAATGAATTAAATAATTCCCTAGGATAATGGCTGAGGTATAAAACTTGGTAATTAAAATCTAAGTGTGTTTATTTAAAAATACAAAATGTTATTTCATGGGGATTGGAGTCTTGAATTAGTTTCATTTTTAAACTATGAAGTCTTTGGGGGAATTTATAGGACAATACTTACGAATGGTACTTAAGTTTTGGTAACAACAAAAGTTTTTTTAAAGACAGAAACAGGTAATTTTCATATGTAGCTTAAATATGAAATTTCTTTCTACAGAACCAAAAACCCAGAAGTTGAGTAATAAAAAAGGAAGTAATACTGACACTCTTAGAAGAGTACTCTTAACAACACAAGTGAAGGTAACTATAGTAAACATGTCTAAAAATCAGTGGAAGATCCAGTCTTATTCTTCGATGTCAGATAATCAATAACTTTGTGTCTCAATTTTTAAAATTTTATTACTTATATTTTTGCATCATTATTTACATATCTTTGAGACAACAAGAAATTGCCTTTTTTTTTTAGTTTTTTTTTGTTGTTGGGATCTAAAAGATTCTTATATGTAAATACAAATATTACAGAGAAAGTGAATATGATAGCCAAAATGTGGATTATGAGGATACAAATACAGTAACTGATTACTGGCAAAATCAGAACAATCCAATGACAGCAGAGCTCAAGTAAGTGATTTTTGATCCCACCAAAAATATATCCTTTTTCTTGGTTTATTACTTTTTCTCAGATATAACATTATTAATTTTTTCAATTTATTTTACTAAGTAGCAGGAAAGCAATGTTATTTACTGAAACTCTGAAAAGTCATAAATGTTTTTCTTCAAATACTAAAAAAAATGACAGTACTTAACTTAGAAATATATGGTTTTGTGAAAGAAAGTTTACATTAGACATGTATCCCTGGAAATATATGATCGAAATCACTTCCTTATTGGCCCCTTCTCACAAATATCATTAAATATATAAAATATCTTTTAGTATTTCTATTTCAGATTATGCTTTTTAAACTTTCATTTATAAAACAGTATTGTTGAATTACAAGCTGTGTATTTTTCCAGTGTGTTGCAAATATAAATCAACAGTTTGAGGAAAACATTTAATGGATTTAAAAATCAAAAAAATATATTTTTTCAGTAATGGAATGGTTGTATTTTTTCTAAATCCTTGAAGATTATTTATGTTGTTTTATTTAATTCATCTTTCAGATACATGTTGTATTAAGGTTAAATACAAATTCAGAATTTCAAATCTTTTCCAAACTTTAGCCAAAATAGCTGCAAATATTTTGATTCCTTGCTTGTCTTACTTCCACAAAAGTTCAAGATAAATGTCCATATGGTATAAATGTCAACTCTCTACAAGACTAATTTTCATCAGTATTGGGGGCTTGTAAACTCAAAGATCAACATATGGTTTTCTTACGGATTATATCAAATATTTCTACCTATATCCAGTTCTGGTATCTTCAATTATTAGCATGAAAAGAGTGTTTTTTAAACATTTACAGTTATTCTTGGACTTAAAGAAATGATACTAGTTTATCATTTATTACTAAATACATAAAGCATGTAATCTAAGAGGGAATAAGTAATCAAAAGAAAGAAAATGATTGCTTATTTATCTTTTTCTGGCTATGTGTGTGTTTTTTTAATAGAATCAATTTGCAGCAGTAAATACCCCAAAGAAAGAAACTTCTCAGATTGATGGACCATCTTTAAATAATACTTATGGTTTCAAAGTCAGCATAGAAAACTTGCAGGATGCAAAAGCTTTACATGAGGTAAAACTGCAACAGTAAGGACACATATATTGTGTTTATTATGTTTTATTCTGTACAATGAGTATGGAAATTTTTTTATGAGGGAGGAATACATTGAATTCTATTATTTTTAATCTTTTTGTTCTTATTCTTACTATTTTATATATTTAAACTTGTATACATATTTACATATTTACATAAAGTAGAAAACCTTTTGAAGTTTCCATTAATTACTGAGACTGCTTTGTGGTTTCACCACTTTCACAAATCTTATAACTGAAATTCAGCTTATAGAAGCTAAAATTAGAAAAGATTTTGTAACTACTGGAACATCTATATTTTGTTATTTGGGGATTGTTATTAAAATGTTATATCACATCCTAAATGTGATATTTACTTGTATTTTCTGTTTGGTTGGCTCAGTGAATAAGAGAGTACTACAAAAGAAGATTAATTTATTCATTCACATAATTTCTATATAACCCAGCTGTCTTCTCAGCACAGACTATATGCCAAAGACTAGAACATTGTCTTACAAAAATGTACATCAGTCACAGTATGAATTGGAAAGAGTATGTGAATGGGTCACTATATATCTGTATTACAGCAAACAACTTGAAACACATATCTGACTGGCAATAAGGTGGAAATCAGTATATTTTCATTGTTTACATGTGTGCTGTCATAGCAGCCACTAGCAACGTGGCTATTGAGAACTTAAAATTTGGCTTATACAACTTAGTATCTGTATTACAGCAAACAACTTGAAACACATATCTGACTGGCAATAAGGTGGAAATCAGTGTATTTTCATTGTTTACATGTGTGCTGTCATAGCAGCCACTAGCAACGTGGCTATTGAGAACTTAAAATTTGGCTTATACAACTTAAGAACTAAATTTTTAATTTTATTTAGTTTCAGTTAATTTAGAATTAAAAACTGATTCTTGACTCATTTATTGGAAAACTTTTAAGTATTTTTGGAACAACTTAGGTATCTAAAACTACTTTTTCAACTGTAAATTTTATGAAATCTAAATATATCAAGTATTTTCATAGAAAATTTAGCATCCACATTAAGATGTGCTGTAAATGTAAAACACATACTTATTTCAAAAACTGAATGGAGAAAAGAATGTAAAATATCTCTAGTAATTTTTATATTGATTACATATTGAAAGGATAATATTTTAGATATATTTCAGATATCTTTAAGTTAATATAACTTTTTTTTTTAATGTGGCTACTAGAAAGCTGTACATACATGTGGCTTTCATTATATTTCTATTGGACATGGCTGGTTTACACAGTTGTTTTATGTCTTTGCCCTTAAAGCAGAGAATTAGTAACCACCTGTAAGTTGTGATTCAATTTTTTAGTTTGTTTTTTTGTTCTCAAGTCAGTTCTGTCTTTAACTATTCTAAGGATTGGATTAGCATACTCTGAGAGAAAAATTTTAATATTGTCCTCTATTTTACCCTAAATTTGAACTGAGAATTGTATTTTTTTATAATTAGATTGGAACGTAGTCTCACTTCTCTCACTTCCTTATTTGTTTGTGTTTTTTTCATTCAACTGCTTTCATTTAGTTCCTATTTTGTACCCGGCACCCTGTACTAGACCCTGAAGCCCAGGTAAATTAAGTGATAAACTCATGAATGCATATCTTGTCAAGGCACACCTGAAATTAGAAAATAAAAGGAAACACTTTGTTAAATAAATATTTCTTAAAGCAAATTTGATAGACCTTAGCAAAAACTTACTACATTTGATTATTCTCTTATTATTTGAAAAACATAATTGTCTCCTTACACTGTTAACTTTATTCTCTGTAACCCCATTTCAGAATCATAGGCCCTCTTGAAGTTAAAGTCTTTTAGGTGTTCTAGCTGGTTGCTGACAGCTTCTTCCTCCTGGCACAGACTTTCCTTATCTCCATGCACATTCCAAACAGCTGCCTGGTGGACAAAACAGGAAATAAGCCAAAAAGATCTACACGTTACTGTTCCTTTCTCTAGGAAATAGTGCTGGTAGTATTTCTTCACCTCTGTTTTCATTACCCTGGGCTAATCTTTCTTCTGCATATCAGTACTCAATGCAGAAGAGAAGGGTTGTAATCTTTGTCCCCCTTTCTCACCTATCTCTTGCCTAGTCACACTCACTACATCTCTCTCACCATTTCCTTATTCCATATATTTGCTTTAAAAAATACTCTAAGAACAGTAATGTATTTTTTATCAAAGAATAAAAAGGCAAAATTTGAGCGTGAAATTTGACCTAGTAAATAAATAAATCAACCTTCAAGACTCTTGACCTGAAATTGTCTTCAGTCTTCTCCGTAGTCTTTTCACATGTTCATCCTTTTCTAATTAAACTGGTTTGTTTTGTTTGGGTTTGGGGGAGAGGTTTTCTATTTAAAACTTTTATATTTACTAAATTAATGCATGCTTATTATTTAAAACAAAATCCTGAAGAGTATACTTTTAAAAATAAAAGTCCTATCTCTTAGCTCCCAATTTCACTTTTTTTTTTTTGTAGTATTTTTTAAAAAATAGAAACAGCACTATGTATTTCTGAGGAAAGTGATAGATTTGTGGGTATTCATTTTAATATTTCTTATGCCTTACACATACATAATTAATGTTCTTTATGTTTTAAAAAGGATTTAATAACAAATTTACTAATGAATGCATGCAGTATTACAGGTACTTGGAAAAATTGAATCAGGACAAAAAGGTTTACAATGAAAAGCTTTTCTCCCATCTCAGGCTAGGAGTTTCCTTCCCCAAAGGCAATAAATAGCTCTGTTTTTTATGTCTCTTTGAAGAAATTTTTTATCCATGTGCTTACATTTTTTATATAAATAGAAGCATACTACACTCACTGGTTTTGCTTATCAGTGTATTCCAACGATCTTTTCCTATTAGGACATACAAATATGGCTCATTCTTTTGAAAATCTTAAAGATTATACAGTATTCCATTGCATGTAGCCTTTATGGATACCACATAATGTATGTAACCAATCTCCAACTGATAGACATTTAGATTTGTTTAGTCTTTTGTTATTATACTCTTGAGTGAACATCTTTGTGCACATATTTTGGCTACGTGAGAGTATACCTATAGAATAAATTCTCAGATGTAGAATTGGTGGGTCAAAACATATGTCCATTTTTGATTTTAATATATACTTCTAAATTATCTGCCAAAGAAATTTACCAAATTCTATTCCCAACACTAGTGAGAGATTTGCATTTACATTTATTCAACAGTTTGCATGCAATAAATACAAAATATAAATTTTTTCTTAAATTTATATGATCTGAATAATTACTAATATTTTAATAGTAGTCTATTTTTCATTGCCGGATATATATGCATGGTAAAATGATGAAGTATAATTCTAGCTATAATCATGAATCTGACCTATATTTTGTTTTTCTTACTCAGCGTTTCTGCCTAACTCTGTCTTAATTTTAGAAAGAAAACTAAGGATTACAGTTAAGAAGAGTTTTTATTAGCATAAGAAATTAAGTGTGGAAAGCAAATATTAGATTTTTGTATTATATGTCATTGAGAAAAAGTGCATGAGTATATATCTGGCTTTTGTGTAATTAATACCATAATGGTTTTTTTTATTTGTTTGTTTTTTGAGGAAAATAATTTAAAATCTTCCTAGTGTATGCAAAAGTCTAAATTTAAGTAGCCTTCAAGTAGTAGCAAATGAATAGGTAGGAACTTTAAACTTTAAAATCTCCTTTTTTAGTTTAAACTACAGGTAAAACTATAGTTAACTGCATAAAAAGTGATAGGCTTTGGTTTGAATGTACAACTGCGTGAACTAGTCATTCTCTTTCTCAAGCAAGGCTCAAGAGAATTGAGAGGCACTGTATGTATTTTAGACAAATCGTTTTAAGTATTGTCATTGAGAAATTACAGCACAAGCAGATTTTTAAAAATAAAAGCATGAATTGATTTAATCTAATTGGAAGTAAAAATCTTTAGTTTTAATCTGTGGAGTATTAAATTGTGGCTTTTTCCTTTATGGCTATTTTTTCTGTAATTTTACACATGTATTTCTTTAGGGTCTTAGTGAAACATACTTCTTTGAGCATGTCTACAAAAAAATTTTTTAAAGCATAATTTTTATTTCCTTTTATAGATACAAAATCTTACCCTAATCAGTGTGGAGTTACATGCTCGAACTAGACGAGATTTAGAACCAGATCCTGAATTTGACCCAATCTGTGCTCTGTTCTACTGCATCTCATCTGACACTCCACTACCAGATACAGGAAAAACAGAACTCACGGGTGTAATAGTGATTGATAAAGACAAGACAGTCTTTGGTCAAGGTATTGTTCATTTTTATCAGTGATATTCCTGCCTACCCTAGGATGAGCCTTTTAACAGGGAGAATTTCTGTGCTGCAGATCTAATCCAAGCAAGTGTAAGGATTCTTTTCTAAAATGTTTGCTGAGATGGGGGTAGGAGGTTGTCTATAACTTTATCCTAGATTAATTATTCTTACTTGAATTACTATTAAGAGTCATAAGCAATATAATATAAAGATCTTAATGTAATTTCTAATTACTGTATGTAATTTGTTCTAAGTATTTTTTAAAGAAAATACTAATTGTTAATACGGAATCCAAATGTTTATGTATCTCTAGATTGAATGGATGGTCTCCCAAATGTATGCATATGCAGGTAGTTTGCCACTATAGGGTTTCTCTTTGCTTTAGGAAGTTACTACTGTGAGTAAGTTAACAGTTTATAAGAAACTTATAAAATATATTCTAACTTAGTTTATATCTCTAAATACATATATTTTTGGTTCAGAAGTTCTTCATACAGTATACCCTATAAGGCATTTTATAAAACACCAAGTGTCCCTCTGCAGTTTTATTTCTTTATTCATTTTTTTGGTGGCTGGCCAGTACAGGGATCCAACCCTTAACCTTGATGTTATAACACCAGCTGAGCTAACTGGTTAGCTTCCCTTTACACTTTTAAATGGTAATCATTACAGGTGAATTCAGTTCACTGAGGAAAAAGTCTTAACACAGAACAAACCATAGAAGAATTTGCAGTTTAATCAATTCTGTGCTTGAGCTGGCTCATACCAGCTCATGAGCCAATTATTGAATTTTCATGAATTTTTCACACTAGTTGATGTCACTATGGTAGGTTGAAATCAGCCTTGGTGGGGAGTCTTTACATTATGGAAATAGGCAGGCACTACAAATCAGGGCTTTCTTTTTTTCCCTGGAGAAGTGGTGGTTAAACATTTTCCAGTATACCACTGATTAAAATGTTGTCTACTAAGCAAAGCTCTTCCTTTTTGGAAGAGTAAAGACAGAAACAAAATAATAAAATTTCTTCATGGGTGATATCTTATTATTTGGGGAATTTTGTGAATATAGACTTCAGGAGGATAACTGAAAATATGAAATCTGAATTTTCAGTTGTAATTAAACTAGAAAAAAATTTTTTTTTTTAGATTTTTTTTTTTTTTTTTCCTTTTTCCGTGTCCGGCAACGGATCGCAACCCTCAGTGTCGCCCCCGTACCGGACCAGGACCGGCAACGGGATCGCAGCCCTCGGTGTTGCTCCCGCGCCTCGCTCAGCCAGTGAGCGGGAACCGGTCTGTATGTGGGATCCGAACCCTCGGCGGGAGCGCCGCTGCACTTCCCAAGCGGCGCACTATAGCAGTGCGCCACCGGGCCGGCCCTTAAACTAGAAAATTTTTTATGAAATTTTCAAGAAATTGGGTTAATTACGTTTTTACTTTGGGAAATGCTTTCTTAATCTGAAATATTTTGGTAGCACAATTTCACTCAAAAGTAACAGATAATATTACTTTTGTGTTGTGTAATACTATATTATTACATAATATAATGATGTTATATATAATAAACATTTTGTTTATTTCTTAGATATCAGATATCAGACCCCATTACTTATTAGATCTGGAATTACAGGATTGGAAGTTACCTATGCTGCTGATGAGAAGGCACTTTTTCAAGAAATTGCAAATATAATAAAGAGGTATTGTTTTGTATTTTCTGATTTTTCCAATTTTTTTTCAGAGAGTCTTTTCATACTGTTGTAGATAATATAGGTGAAGGAAGGAAGAAGGAAGAAAATCCCTTTCTGTGATCCTTAAAAATAAATAGGTATTCCTGGAAAGAAGATTTTGCACCCCCACCACCATCACCATTTCCATCAAATAAGGGATAGGAAAAACAGTATTCTATTCTCTAGATTGAGGGCCAGTGAAAGAGAAATACTAATATTTGCTTAGCCTTTAGCTTCCTAGTTAGATTTTAGGATGATTTTTCTATGGTGCTGATATAATAGGGAACTGTACTAAAATTAAATTGTATTGTTCATTAAATAGGTTTCTATCTTGGAAGACAACCACTTTCTTTTTAATGCTTTCTGAGTTCTAAAGCCAATATTTCCAAAAAAGGTTTGGGGCCTAATCTGTTCATAAATGTATTTGTTTATAAATTTGGGACTATCTGGTGCACATAGTTCCTTAAAAATCTCTTTTGACCATTTGGTAGTTGGTCTTGAGGTTGATAGAAAACTCTTGTCAAAATTTATGCAAATGATTTTTTTTAAATATTTTAATTTAAAAATTAAAAAGTGGATCTTTTGCATTTTCTCAAGAGTGTAATTCTTGGTAGCTATGGACTTACTAAATGTCACTTTCTAGGAACTTAATGTTTCTGCTCATTGCTAGGTTTAGATTTTTAAGTGCCTAAAGCAGGCTTGAAAGTAGTCTTAGGATCCTGCTGTAGAAATAAAGGCTGTCCTTAAGCATGTTGTTCCACTCATCCCTTTCTGTTCTGCTTATATAGTTGAACTCTTTCCTATAAAAACTCAAACAATATTCCACATTAAAGATCAAGAGGATATTCTACAGACTCAACATCTGATTGAATCCCAGATAGGTTAACATAAACCATTTTGAAAATTAGAAAACCAGAAAATGTGTTCTCTGTGAAACAAAATTAAATGACAGAGCATCAGAAATGGTCTGCTACTACCCACAACTCTAGGAAGGGAGAAAGAGGAAAGTTTTTACTATTTGTAGCACTGGTAACTGGATAGATTCCCATACATTTGAGTCTTGCCATTGTCAGTCCTACCTTTTATCTTCTCACAGAGATTGTCATCAACATTTCAGATGCTTTCATTGTCCACGTTATTATTTCTGCAAGTGACTTAACAAATGAAATATGTAAGAATTTCAGTCAATACCATTTTTTGTGCCAGTACACATCCAATAATGTTCGTGGGCTTTGTATGCTTGTCTTCTCCTTATTAGGTGTATTCGTAACAACAGTATTCTCTGCCAACATTGAGAATTTTGTCAATCATTTGCAAGTGTAGCAACTTTCTTAAATGTCCCTAAGGTGAATTATACTAGTCATTACGAAAAATGGGGTAAAGTAAACAAAATTATTGAGAAGAAGAATGCTTAAATATCAGCATTTTAATTTTGCAATGTCCTTTATATGTTAGTCCAAGCAACCCTCTAACAAGATTATTTCATTCTTTCACCCCATTTGTTGAATTACCTACTCAACATAGGCTTTGGAGTCAGCCAGCCCTGTATTTTTGTCTTAAGTTGCTTATGACTCTCAACTTTGTTTTCTACATTTGTGAAATGGATAAAAGATATGAGAATTTCATATCTGCTGCCTGATACATAGTACTTAAATGTTAACTGTGTGTAAGACACACACGAGGTGCTGTACAAAAAAGTGAATAAAATATAAATACATACTCTTAAAGAGTTTTGTTGTCTTTATTTTTCTATTCTTACTATTTATCTCCTCAGGTGGCAAATACAAAAAGTAATGTAAAATGATATTAAACAAGTAAAACCAGATCCATTATCTTCTTGTCAGAATTTTTTCTATTTCCATATTTCCTTGGAATATTAATAATTTTACACTTTGCACAGTCTCCCATTATCTTCTTGTCAGAATTTTTTCTATTTCCATATTTCCTTGGAATATTAATAATTTTACTATCTAATTTTACTATCTATTTTTCTATCTAACTTAAATAGAAACTATGATGCTTTCATTTTCTTCTCTACATCATACATTACATCTTGTCTATTTAACCTCAGAATTGTTTTTCAGGATTATTCCTTCCCTTCCATGCCCATTCCACTACCCTAGAGTACCCTAATCTCTCATCTATACAGATATTAGTGGGTTATTTAAAATATTAATTGTGGGGCCGGCCCGTGGCTCACTCGGGAGAGTGCGGTGCTGATAACACCAAGGCCCCGGATTCGGATCCCACATAGGGATGGCCGGTTGCTCACTGGCTGAGCGTGGTGCTGACAACACCAAGTTAAGGGTTAAGATCCCCTTACTGGTCATCTTTAAAAAAAATAAAAAAATAAAATAAAATAAAATATTAATTGTGAAGTAGCTTTTTTCTACCTAAGTAAATAAAGTCATTTCCTATTTCTGCTTTTTCCATCTTCTCCACAGTTTTGTTATTTCTTCATCACTAATCCCATCTGCCCCGTCCTGTTCTTTCTGTGACTTTTAGAAACCTGACAGAGTGAATAAAACTCACTAGAAACTGAAGAACAAGTCATCAAGACTTTGTTATTGTCAACAAATGTTTTTGCAAAAGAAAAATAGAATCCTTTGGGTTTTGAACTTGAAACAGATGTTTTATTTGCTTTTTTAAAATTCAAGATATCTTAACATTTACTTGCACATATTTGTGAAGCACAGTATGTTGTTTCAGTACATGTGTATACTGCACAACAATTCACTTAGGGTAGATAGCATAGTTTTGTACCCATTAGTTCACCTCTCTCCCCCACCCCACAGCCTCTCGTAACCATTATTCTACTCTTCGCTTTTATGAAAACCACTTTTTTTTTTAAGATTCCACATGAGTGATATCTTGCAGTGTTTGTCTTTTTGTGCTTGACTTATCTAACTTAACATGATGGTTTCCAGTTCCATCCACGTTGCTGCAAATGATAGGAGATCATTATTTTTATAGCTAAGTAATATTCCATTATGTATATATACCACAGTTTTTTATCCATTCATCTGTTGATGGGCATTTAGGTTGATTCCATCTCTTGGCTATTGTGATGGCTATTGGCTGCTGTGATGAACATATGAGTACAGGTGTCTTTTTAATATATTGATTTAATCTCCTTTGGGTATATACCGGTAGCGAGATAGCTGGGTAGATCTGTTTTTAGTTTTCTGAAAAACCTCCATACTGTTTTCCACAGTGGCTGTGCCAATTTACACTCCCACCAACAATGTAGGAGAGTTTCTTTTTCTCCTCATCCTCTCCAGCATTTGTTATTTTTTGTCTTGTTGATAATAGCCATTCTACCTGGAGTGAGATATCTCATTGTGGTTTTAATTTTCATTTCCCTGATGCTTAGAGATGTTGAGCATTTTTTCATGTGCCTCTTGGCCATTTGTATGTCTTCTTTTTAAAAACATCTGTTTAGGTCCTTTGCCCGTTTTTTAGTTGCTGTTAAATTCCTTATATATTCTGGATATTAGCCTTTGTGTGATGTATAGTTTGCAAGAACTCTCTCCCAATCTGTAGATTGTCATTTGGTGATAGTGTCACTTGCTGTGCAGAAGCTCTTTAGAGGTAGTCCCATTTATGTATTTTTACATTAGTTGTCTGTGCCTTTGTAGTCTCACTTAAAAAAGCTCTGCCCACTCTCATTTTGTATAGCATATCCACTATGTTTTCTTCTAGCAGTTTCATAGTTTTAGGTCTTAAATTTGTCTTTGATCCATTTTGAGTTGATTTTTGTGTGTGAGAGATGGTCTAGTTTCAATCTTCCACATGTGGATATCCTGTTTTCCCATTACCATTTGTTGAAGAGACTGTTCTTTCCCCATTGTATGTTTTTGTCACCTTGTCGAAAATCAGTTGGCTGTAAATGTATGGGTTTTTTTCAGGGCTCTCTATTCTATTCCATTGGTCATTTTGTCTTTTTATTCTAGCACCAAGCAGTTTTGGTTAATATAGCGTTATAGCATATTTTGAAGTCAGGAAGTATGATGCCTCCAACTTTGTTCTTTTTGTTCAAGATTGTTTTTGCTATACATGGTCTTTTGTGGTTCCATACAAATTTTAAGATTGTTTTCTATTTCTGTGAAGCATTATGTCATTGGTGTTTTGATAGGGATTGCATTGAACACTTGGATTACTTTGGGTAATGTGATGATGCTAATTTTTCCAGCCCGTGAACATGGGATATCTTTCCATCTGTTTGTGTCATCTTCAATTTTTTTCACCAGTATTTTATAGTTTTCATTGTTGTCTTTCGCCTGCTTAGTTAAATTTACTTCTAGGTATTTCTTTCTTTTCTTTTCTTTTTCTTTTTTTTTTTTTTTTTTTTTTTAGCTATTGTGAATGAGGTTATTGATTTCTTCTTCCGTTATTTTGTTTTTGGCATATAGGAAGGCTTTTGATTTTTGTATGTTGATAAAATTCAATACCCTTTCATGATAAAAACACTCAACAAATTAGGTATACAAAGAATGTACCTCAACACAATAAAGGCCATATACAGCAAACCCACAGCTGATATCATACTGAATGGACAGAAACTGGAGGCTTTTCCTCTAAGATCTGGAACAGGACAAGGATGCCCACTTTCCCCACTCTTATTCAACATAGTCCTAGAAGTTTTAGCTAGCACAATAAGGCAAGAGAAAGCAATGAAGAGTATTCAAATCAGAAAGGAGGAAGTCAAACTATCCCTGTTTGCAAATGACATGATCCTATACATAGAAAATCCTAAAGACTTTACCAAAAAATTACTAGAACTAATAAATAAATTCAGTATAGTGTTATCATCTTCAGAAGAACCTCTTAAGACTATAAACAGCCTACAGGTCAAAAAATAAATGTACGGGCCGAGGCTTGCAGTCCCGTTGCCGGTCCCCGGTCCGGTGCGGGGGCAACACTGAGGGTTGCGATCCTTTGCCGGACACGGAAAAAAGACAAAAGACAAAAAAAATAATAATAATAAATGTACATATTATATCTGAGAAATATTGAAATAACTATACAATTGTAAAGAACCAAAATCTGTGAAATAAATCTATTAAGAGAAGCACAGGGTAAGTAACTTTTTTGGGTTCGTTTTAGCAGTCATTTCTGAGTAGTAGCAATTTATAAAAATAGACAACTTTTAAATTAAGACAAAATTATTTTCAAAACATTATCAAAAAATGAGTGTACTTAACCAACTCAATTAGTCAATTGGCACAGCAGAACAAATAGGTGACTGGAATAATAATTCTTGCAGTAACAAGATGTTTTATGAGAGAGAGATTCAGATAAAGAAATTAGAAGAACTGTCTTTATAAGAGTTATAACCTAAGGGATCTGTAATTATCAGGCCTCCTCTT